ACCCTCAGGCGGGAGCGCCGCCGCGCTTCCCAAGTGGCGCACTATCCAGTGCGCCACCGGGCCGGCCCAAAGCCATTTCCTTTCTAAAAATGATTTTTTATTTTTTTATTTTTGTGGCCCTGGAAGCTGTCGAAGGAATCATTCAGAGATATTTGTTAAAGCATAGTAAGGAAGACTTTATTCAGGGCCATTGATATAGGTGTAGGGACCACTGCTACAGGGACTTGAAGTGAAGAAGAGGGATTGGGCTCAACTCCGAATATACCATGGGCAAGTGGAAATTTATAGCCAAGGAGCAGACTGGGGGGTCAGTGGATGGAAAATTATTAAAAGGAAACATCAGGGGTAAGGGGGATTCTGGCTAAACCAACGTCACAGGATTGTAGCTGAAGACATGCTAGGATATTCAGACATCACCTGGAGGATGGTGGACGATAAGAAACCTGATCAGATATTGAGGATGATTAGACGTCGAGGATGGGGATAGTTCTTGCTAACTTGACTTAGCAGGGTTCTTTGTTAAAACTGGATTTTACAAGGAAGTGTACAGATGGGCCTAGCAGAAAATTCAGAGGGCTGACTAAAGTTTGGCCAAGCAAAGAATCTTTATCAAAGCTCGTAGATAAGTTAGTCATTGCTCAGTGTTTAGCAAGAACCTACTTTATGCTGGGACTTTCAAGGTGCTGGGTGTGCGTTGTTAGGAAAAACAACCACCACCATTACCCCTGTAATTGCTTCAGGAATGAACCAGTATCTGCAAAGTACAATGTTTATTCTGTTCTCTGACCTGCTGGGGAGGTTGTTTAACCCACTGCAGATGCTGTTCTGACCCGGGCCGTTAATTAACACACATTATTTTGGCCTTAGATTAGCCTTTGATTCGCCAAGAGCATCTCATGAGAACAGGAACCATCAGTTAAATATTCAGAGCACAGGGGTGGGAAGGAGAGGCAGCTGCTTGCAGCACCATTTGAATTTCAGGCAATGGGTAGATGCTGACTTTGTGGACTTGAGTCAAGGCAGACTGCTGGTGGGTACCCACCACACACAGGAGATACTTGGGCTATATGTCAGGAAGAACTGTTTGCCTGGAAGGGTTAGAGGATAGCAGCATGTTTTAGAAAAAAGGAGAGACAGCTGTCATTCAGGGGAGAGAGCAGAAAGCTGCTTCATGACTTGCTAAAGGCTCTGTCATCCTAAGGGAAAAAAAGAACAGTGTTTAAGTTATCTAGGTCTAAAGAAACCTGGTCGGATAAAGTTGAGACCTGTGTTGTCCATAACAAACATCATGCCCGGGGGATGGAAATAGCCAGCACTTACTATGTGTTCCGGTGCTAGGTGCTCCATACCTATTTATTTAGTCCCCACAACTGTGCTGAGAGGTGGGTCCATCCTTAACCCCGTGGTACTGCTGAGAATTATCTTAAGTGACTTGGCCCCAGGCCATACATCTAATGAGTGGCAGAGCCCAGATTTGAGCTCACAGGAGGCTAAACTAGAGTCTTGACCACTTCACAAGGGCTAATTGGCAGCTAAACCAGCTGAACCATTTGCAAACGGGATTAATCACAGTGATGCTGGATTTATTATGTGCCATGCCCTGTACTAAGTGTTTTATATTTGTGGCTTCATTTCAGCTTCACATTAGCTCTCTAAATTGTGGGTAGCATTAAAGCCCCCATTTCTCAGATGAGAGTGCTGAGGTTCAGAAAAGTTCTGTGACTTGGCACAGGTGGTACACTAAGGTGGGCTTTCACTTCTTAAGGATTCTCCATTGAGTGTGGTTGTGACTGGGATCCCACAGGTTGCACAAGAGCCTGCCCTGGTCGTCCCATCAGCAAGCGTGTGTGGGACAGGACCCCTCCTTTCCAGGCAGCTGACTCTTAGTTCTTTCTGCTCTTTCTTAGAGCACGCCAATTACTTTGGCGTGGATGAGAAACTAGGGCCAGTGGCTGTGAGCATCAAGCGGGAGAAGCTGGAAGACCACAAGGACCACGGACCTCAGTACCAGTACAGGATCATCTTCCGGACCCGTGAGGTAGGTCCCATCACTATCATTATTACATAAGTAAGAGCTGTTCACATCTACGAGCCCTTCCTCTGAGCCATGTTGTGGGGACAGGCGCTTTCCCTGCTTCATCTCATGTGATCCTCCCAATAACCCAGGAGAGCAGTCCTGTTAGTCACCCCATTTTACAGAGGAGGAAACTCACAGAAATTAAATGACTTGTACAGGATCAGTGAATAAGCAGCCAGGCTGGGATTTGAATCCAGTGTGTCTGACTTCAGAGCCCAAGATTACAAAAACTATTTGCAAGAGATTAACTCTAGTTAGCATAAGAAATAAAGGTGGTGGGGGGTAAGGGATCATTTCAGGATCATGAGGTGTCCTGCATAATGGAAAGAAGAATTAAGGCAACAAGCCTCAGACAGGGCCTGAATTAGGCAATCTTTACCCCAGGAACTGCTGTTATGCTGATCGGCTCAAAACACCCCCAACTGTCACTTTCCATTCTGAGTAGAGAATCCCATTGTTCTGCCTGGTCAGAGATCGTCCCCTGGATTAAATGTCAGCTGTGGCATACCCTTCTCTATTAGGAGTCTAAATTGTAGTGACAGAAATCTATTTCTAACTGGCTTAAGCCAGAAAGAGAATGCATTGGGTCGTGTAACTGCAAATCCAGGGGTTAGGCCAGCTTCAGGCATAGCTGGACTCAGAGACTCAAATGAAGTCACCAGAACTCTGCCTCCTAATCTCTCCACTCTGCTTGGCTCTGCTACTTTTTACATTGTGGATCTCATTCTCTTCTGCCACCAGCAAGCTCTCTCCGTGTCCTGGGAAGATGGAGACTGGCTGCTCAAATCTTCTACATCTTTATACCTTCTCAACCAAAAGGAAGACTTTTATCTGCTGAGTCTCTGGGAAGGACTCTGGTCATGTTTGCTTGGATCACAAGCCCACGCCTTAAGCCAGTCACTCTGATGAGGGGTGATAGAGAAAACTGGCCAGATCTAGGACCTGTGCTCCACCTTGGGTCCAGGGGCAGGGCAGGGCAGGGTACTGTGACTGACAGTTCCATCAGAGCCACCTGCAGGAGGAGGCAGGGCAGTTCCTCTGCAAGTAGAGGGGAGCTAGACAAGCAAAAATGATGGAGATTTCCAAAAGACCCAAGTAAGGAAGACCTTTCCAGAAAAGGGGAAGTTGGCAGGGAGGCGGGCTCCCCAAAGTGAGTCTCTCTCAGCCCTGTATTTCCACAGCCCCTGTACCTGGCCTGTGCCCAGGCATGGAAATACAGCAGGCTTCCACTGCCAAGGACTTTGGATTTAGGGCCAGCTGAGCCCTGGAGGGGAAGTAGGATTTGTGGCAGCTGAGTAGAGGAGGCCCTCAGACCATGAGCCCCAGACTGCAGGTGGTCGCCGGCCTGTCTTCCTAGCCCCTCCTCTCTGCTCACCATGGGCAGAATGTGAAGTGACAGCTCGCAGTGCATCAGGCTGCTTTAGGATGTATGGGCAACTGCTGGGTGAAATGACAACCACAATCATAATAATAACTATAATAATAAAAATAATAAATATAATATTTATTATAGTTGCTAATATTACTGCAAATCTACTTAACATTGTGTGTCAGGCATTGTTCTAACTCACTTAAATCTCATCACAATTCTTTGCTGAAAGCACTACTGTCCTCATTTATATATGACAGAACAGGCAAAGAGAGGTTAAGGGACTTGCCCAAAGCACCCTTCAGTGAGTGGCAGGACAGGGTGTCTGCCTGTGCTCCAGCCACTGCACTCGGCTGCCCCTGGGGTCCAACTAACTCATCTTAGACTGCACATCAGACCCATTCATGGGTTATGAACTCAACTTAGTGCCAGCACTTTTGTTTTTGTGTTTAATGAAAATAAAATATGTGGAATGAATTTTTTAAATACCAGACTGTCACACATACTAAGACTCCTGACACTTCAGTGCATAGATACTGGGGTCAGGGCATAATTTTTTTTTCCCATGGTTCATGTTCAGTGAACTTGAAACTGGCTTGATGTCATTCTGGGCTTGTGTCTGCTTCTGTCCACTTCTGACACCCAAAGAGGCTACAAAACTAGCCTCTGGGGACTCCAGTCTACCCCAGGCCAGGCACAGGAACCCTTGAGTTCCATGGCCAGAGACTTGGGATCCATTCATTGCACAGAGATTCACTCAGCACTGCCACCTGCAGCCCTGTGCCCGGCACTGAGAGAAGAGTAGCAAATAAGACAGCAAAGATGCCCATGGGACTGTAGTCTCATGGGGAGACAGACGGTATGCATTATACCTGAGTTAATTATACAGTGTGGTACATGATGACGGGGTGGAAAATAAAGCAAGGAAGAGAAAAGAAGGTGGGTGGTTAGATTTTTAGACAGGATGGTCACTGGGAAGATGACATTTGAGTAAAGACCTAAAGGAGGTGACAGAGGGAGCCAAGTGGACAGCTAGAAGAAGAGCATTCTGGGCAGAGGGAACAACCAGTGTAAAGGTCCTGAGGCAGGACCATGCTTGATGTGTTGGAGACCTGTTGTGAGTTCAGCTGCTCAGCAGTGCAGAAACCTTGGGCATGAGGCTTCTCCTCTTGGACCCTCAGTTTCCCCCTTGGAAATCCCAGGCTTACAGGACTGTGATGTGGGCTCGGTGAGGTCGCACATGTAGAGCAGGCAGTGCTGGGCTCAGTGAGGTTAGCTGTCAGGAGAGGTCTTCGTCTACTGCCCCCTTGTCATATCCTGTGGGTTGTGGCCTCACCCTGAAGTTCACACCCACAGCAGGCTTTTCTCTGCCCTCCCCACACACAAGCCACACAGACTCATCCCTGGGCCCAGCCCCTTGCAGAGCTACCCGACTGGGCCCTTAGGCCTGAGGACCCCATCATCTGGAGTTGGAGGGAGGGGCAGTGGCCAGAAAGGTTTGTCTCATTCCTTTCTAACCCTGTCGTGGAGGCAGAGTGGAGGATCCCATAGCCCAAATACAGTGACAGCAATAGTGATAATTATAGCTAACACTTTTAGCACATAGTAGTGCCAAGCCCTGTCCTAACAAGTGTTTTATATGCATTGACCCATCAGATCTTCTCAACTGTCACATGACGTGGGTCCCGTTATTTATCCCCTTTCTACAGATGAGGATGTTGAGGCCCAGAGAGAGAACCTCTCATCAGAACGTGGACCCAGGCTGCCTCGCCCCTGAGCCCATGCCCTTAACCATGGCACCACAGTGCCTGTAAGGTCAAATTTGAATTGTGGCTCTGGGAACACACAGCCCTAGGGTCAGTCCAGCTCTGCCATCCACTAGCTATGTGACCTTGGACAGATGGCTTTACCTCTGTGCACCTCAGTGTCTTGTCTATAAAATAAACTTTGCACTGTTGCCTGTCTCCTGGAGAGGTGGGAAGGTTCTCTTGATCGATGTACACAAAGTGGCAGCACAAGGCTACAGGGCAGTAAGTGCTTTGATTGCCAGGTGGTACCGTGATTGACACTACTGTTGTGGCCATCATTCTTTCCTGAGAGGTCACAGGACCATACTGGGGAGCAGGGATTGATCTCAGGGATGGGGTTCTGTCCTCCTCCTGTCCACACACACATGCCTCAGGCTCCTGTAAACCAAGGTATGGGGCCAGAGCGAGGGCCCAGGCTGCTTTCCAAGCCAGCCGGCTGGCCTGCCCCAGATGGCCACCCCCGGCCGCCAAGCAGACTGTCTCGAGTGGGCCTGCATCTCTCAGCAGATGGGATATGAGTGTTGGCAGCACCAAGCTTCTCACGGAGGCAGGAACGGACTTGGAGCTGGGCTTTGGCACCACTTGCCCGAACTCCAGTTCCTGGCCCCCACCCTTGCCCCAGCCCCAGTGAGCCTGGACAGGACAAGCCCCAAGCCAGGGCTCCCCTATCCCAAGCCCCCTTGCAGGCGGGGCACAGGACACAGGGGTCCGCAATCAGCCAGGGATGCTCTGGCTCACCAGGACCAGTGGGTTCACTTTGGCCTGGCAAACACAAGTTCTTGACAGACCTTAGTTTTGATAGGGTTAGAGGCTGGATTTTTATTTTATCAGTTCTTTCTTATTTAAAATGTACCATACACTCATTGTTAAGATGTTAAGCAATACATAAGTATGCAAAGTAAAAAAGGGAAAGTCTCATGAAGTGAAAAAACCAAGTGTAATAGTGCACCTAGTGGGACCCCATTTTTGTTCAGTATGTACATCTGATTGTGTGTGTGTGTACTTATATATAAACAATCTCCAAAGCATACTGTTAAGTGGGAGAAAAGCAAACTGTAGCTTCCTATTTACAGTTAAAATTTTTTTCTTTTTTTTCCACCTCTGTATCCTTATCAGGCAAAAAAAAAAATCTTAACTATGTGGTTTTGTCCATATACACATATTTACCTAACACATATTGAGCTCTCACTGTATGCCATGTACTGTGCTAAGCACTCTACATGGATTATCTTATTGAATCCTTTCAGTACTTTGAAGTAGGCATTCTTATTCCCACTTTATCAATGAAGAAACAGGCACAAAGAAATTAAGCAACTTACTGAGGTTTACACAGCTAGGGAGGGGTGGAGCTGGGATTCGAACCCAGGCAGACTGACTACCAAGTAACCACCCAGGAAAGTTCTTGAAGTGTGCACCCACTGCCCAGTACAGACAAAAGCAGGGAGTGCACCTGAGTCAGGAGCCAGCAAAGAACAACCTGTGCAAATGGGAACCTCCTTGTTTACATGGCGCTGTATCCCTTTCACAGCTCATTTGGTTTGTTACTCTCAATGAGATGATGCCAAATGTTGTTGGGTTCTGAGCAGAGGAGAGCTGTGATCTGACTCAGGCTGCTGCAGAAAGAATGGGCAGGGAGGCAGGGGGGGAGGGAGCAGGGAGACCAGGAAGAGGCTGCTCACCAACTGGGAGATAACAGTAGACATGACCAGGTGGAGAGAGAGGTGGCCACTTGTGACTTGCCAGTGCCCTACTTATTATCTGCAGTGCAGAAGGAAAAGCTGGGAGTTTTCCAAGTAGTGGGCCAAAATGTGACCTTTCTCCAGTGTGGCGGAATGAAGATTTCTGGTCCGTGCTATCCCTTAGCTCCCAGCAGAGGGCGCTGCAGGACAGTGTCAGTAGAATATAAAGACACTGATCCTCTTGGTACATTGAACCCACAACCCTAGGGCCACCCAGATTGGCAAGGCAGAGCAGCTGACATCATTGCTTTGCATGATCTGTTTCAAGACTACCTTGCTTATGATAAGAGAGATCTGTTTGTTTATTAATTACCGTGGCCAGAACTGGGAACTCCCAACCATGAGATCATTTCATTTCTTCCACACATCCCTCTTGCCCAGGTCCTGTTTGGCAAGGGTGGCCTGTATGCTTAGAGGCGAAGTTATGACACATTATGTTTGCTGCCTTCTATGTCTGTTGACTTAGGTGAACATGTTTTTGCAGTGAACACTGATTCTCTTTAGTCCTTAAACCATAGCCCCAAGTGTATTTTGGGTGTTTTTGTTGTAGTATTCTAGACCCCCTGCCATGCATTTTTAATGTGGTGCTGGGCCCAGGGTATGGCATAACCTGGTGGCCAAGAGCACATCGCAGCTAGAAGCATGAGCTGCTATTAGAACATGAAGCAACAGGGGCCCTCAGACAGGGCTAGTGGGGTGTAAATTGGGACAACCACTTGGAAAACTCTTTGGCAGTACAGTAAAATTGAAGATTTGCATGCCTGGTGACTTGACAATTTCTCTCCTAGGTATAAACCCAAAGGAAAATGTGTTCTTGGGCACCAAGAGGTGCTTCTTTGAAAGTTCCTAACAGCACTATTCACAGTTGTCAAATACTAGAAGCGCTTCTGGTGCCCATCAACAGTAGAAAGGATCAAATCTATCATGATAAAAAACATCAGCCTCTGGCAACAACACGACTGAATCTTATATGTGTAACATTAAGATAAATAAGCCAGATAACAAAAGAATACAAACTGCGTGAAACTCAAAAATAGGAAGAAATAAATTATGGTGTTGGAAGTCAGGGTAGGGTTACCTTTGGGCATAAGGGAAGGGGCATGAAAGGGCTTCAGAGGCTGGAAATGTTGTATTTCTTGATCTGGGTGGTGATTACCCATGTATTCATTTTGTGATAACTTCTTTAGCCGTGCATATGTGTATTAACGACTTTTATAGGAAGAGTCTTCAAAACGTTTCTGGAAAGATTTGAGGGTTTTTTGCTGGCCGGCCAGTAAGGGGATCCGAACCCTTGACCTTGGTGTTATAACATCACACTCTAACCAACTGAACTAAAGGGCCAACCCCATACTACGCTTTAATCCCATTTTCCATGAACTTTTTGAAGTACCCTTGTGTTTGTGGATTATACTTCACAGCAGTAAATAAATGAATGAATGAATGAAAAAAACCATGAGCTTTGGAGAAGTCAGACCGGGTTCAGCCACTTGTCAGCTATGGGGACCTTGGAGAAGGTACCTAACCTCTTGGAGATTCAGTTTCCTCATCTGCAAAACAGAAATAAAACTTCCCCCGAACAGACCTATACATATAATTAAGTAATTACTACACTACATGGAGCACAGTGCAGTGAACTGCACCTTCATAAATGTGACTTGTTATTAGGATATATCAGTTAGAAATTTCTTTGACTGCAAAGTAACAATACACCTGACTAACCATAACTAAAACAAATACAGGATTATTTTAATGATCTAAGAAATCTGGAGGTAGGCAGCTGCAGGGATCGACTTCTGAGACTCTGTTGTCTCTTTCCTCTTGATCACAACATGGATGCCACAGCTCTAAACATCTTACACCAGTGTCCCTAGCAAGAAGAAATGGCAGGCAGAAAGGTGCTTTCCTTTTATCAGAGAGAAGAATCTGTCCCCAGAAGTCCTCACCAAGCAGAATTCCCCTCACATCTCATTGCCTGGAATTGGTCACATGGATGGCTATAGGAAAAATTTGGAAAGCAGCGTCTGGGGAAGGGGAATGAGATAGCCGTGATTAGCTTTGATGAAAGGTTTTCAACGCTGACTACACATCAGAATCACCCAAGAGGGATTAAAAATATGTGTGTGTGCATGTGTGTGTACACCTGTCCACGGCAGACAGGTGTTTTACATGAGAGTTTGTGGTAATATGTTTATAAAATAATGTTATTGTAATAACGACAGTGAGAGCCCACCTCCTTGTGGAGCCTGTTTTATTCATTATACTTCCTATTACTTGACATAATCCATCTTCCCACTCAAATGTCAGCTCTACAAGGACAGGGATCTTTGTTCATTGCACCTAGAACAGGACTGGGACACTGGAGGCCCTCAACAGTATGTGTGGAACAAATGAAGGTATTTTATATCCATTGTCTCATTTAGTCCTCCCAACACCCGTTCATGGTCATGATACTATCACTGTACACATTTCACGAAAGAATAAGTTGATGCTCAGACCTACGAAGTCACCTGGTCAAGATCACACAGCCAGGAGGGCAAGTTCAAGTCCTGGCTTAGGCCCGAGCTTCTAACCATTGCCCATGACTCTTTGAAACAGGACCTCCCTCGTATACTCTAATCCCTTTCTGGGTCCTGTGAGCCTCCTAACCTTTTCTTCTGTTCCCTGAGTAGCTCATCACCCTGCGGGGCTCCATCCTGGAAGATGCCACCCCCACAGCCACGAAGCATGGCACTGGGCGGGGCCTACCCCTGAAGGACGCCCTGGAATATGTCATCCCCGAACTCAATATCCACTGCCTGCGGCTGGCTCTCAACACTCCCAAGGTGACGGAGCAGCTGCTGAAGCTTGATGAGCAAGGGGTGAGCCAGGGACATAAACGGGGGAGGTGAAGACACTGCGGAAATAGCCTGCCACCCAACTCCTGGTGCCTCTCTCTGTCTTGGTCACTTTTTTTTCCACAAGTAACAGAAACCAACTTAAGCTAGTTTCAGCAAAAGGAGAAATCTGTTATCATATTCTAGGGGTGTCAAGAGCAGGAATGTAACTGGGTCCTAGGAAGAAAGTAGTCTGGGGATGAGATAGCCGCCAGGTTCGTGTGTGCATGCGTGCAAGTGTGCGTGCATGTTATCTACTGTGTGTCTTTCCTTCCCCTCTGCACGCTGGCTCGCTCTGCTTCTCTTGCCTCTCCCACAGCTCCCAGAGTTGCTGTTAGAATTAAGCCACGTTCAGACCCCAGCCAGCTGACTCTCAGTTACAGGAGAGCCCCTGCATGGCCTATGCTTAGGTCAGGTGTCTGTGTGTCTGTCCATGATCCAGTCACCAGTGACCAGGAGAATGAGGAATACCTAACATAAGAGTGGTTATCGAGGACCTACCTCCTAAAAAATATTGACTGTAAGGCCTGAGCCCTCCAGATTTTGCTTTTGCAGAATCACAGCCAGTTCCCGTCCACCTACTGTGGGAAGCTGGCCAAGGCAACAGCTTCTTTCCCTCAAGAGTGGTGTTGCCAGCTGCCCTCTGCCCACCGTAGAGAGGAGAGCAGGCAGCATGGGCACCGTGCTGTGCCTCTCTGGAATGGGAGCGAGGCAGAGGGACAACTAAGACATGCCCCAATGCCTTTTTTCTTTCTTTCTGGCTGTGTCTCTGAATTCCTGAGTGGCCCCAGTATCTCCCAGGGCTGAATGCCTCAGAAATACCCCTTTGTTCCATTCCCCCTGACATCTCTGCCTGGCCTGTCTCCACAAAGCCACCCTTGCTTCTGCAGCTCTGCCGGAAACACAAGGTGGGCATCCTCTACTGCAAGGCTGGCCAGAGCTCTGAGGAGGAGATGTACAACAACGAGGAGGCGGGCCCGGCCTTTGAGGAGTTCCTGTCCCTCATTGGCGAGAAGGTCTGCCTGAAGGGCTTTACCAAGTACGCCGCTCAGCTGGATGTCAAGAGTAAGTCAGGGGCTGGTTCCGTCACAGTGAGCCCCCATTGTACGCCCACCCAACAGGCAGAAATTAAAAGGCCTGGTAATACCGAGGTGAGGATGTGGGGCAGTGGGAGCTATAGGACCCCACTGGTGGGAACGCGGATGGTATATCCACTCAGGAAAACAGTGCGGCACATTCTAGTAAAGTCTGAAGATACTTCCACTCTGTGACTCAGCAGCTGCACTCCTAGATACATACTCTGAGAGTGCATGCACATGCTTATCAGGAGGTGTGCTGCATGTATAACCACAGTCACCTGGAGCACCCAGTGTGCACTGGCAGGATTGTGTGTATTTATGCAGCGGAAGCAAAGGGGCGCCACAGGAGCCTGCCTGGATGAGGGCCACGTACTTCATGTTGTGTATAGATAGCAGGTCTCAGAAGAGCATGTACTGAATGATGCCTTTTATGTAACAATTATTTGAAAAGCATACCCAACAATATGTTATTTGGGAATTTGTTCTTAAGTAGTAAAACTGAAGAAAAACAGGAGAATGATAGACACAATGTTCAGGCTGGTAGGAGAGAGAAAGGGTGGTATGGCTGGAAAGTGGTGCTCACGTTAGAGTGTTGGTGGTAGTCTGTTTCTTAAGGCAGGTTATAGCAGAAATACCTGAAACCGGGTAATTTGTAAAGAAACAATATTTATTGCCTGCAGTTTTGGAGGCTGGGAAGTCCAAAGTCCAGGGAACACATCTGCTGAGGTCCTTGTTCTTAGTGGTGACTCTACAGTAAAGGAGGGTGTTGCATGGCAAGAATGGCAGAAGTGAGAGAGAGAGAGTTTCTAAAGGGCTCTCCTTTTAAAGCCGTCAGAACCATGCCCGTGACCACCGTTAAACCATTAATGGATTAATTCATTCACTAGGGCATAGTTTTCACAATCTAATCACCTCTTCAAGGCCCCAGCTTTCAGTTACCATAACAAGATTTCCCACCCTTTTAACACTACCACAATGGAGATTAAGTTTCAAATATGGGAAAATTGGGGGGACACAATTCAATCCATATCACAGTGATAGATACAACATATTCATTGTAGCATTTTCTGTACATATAATGTGAATGCATACATACATATAGACAAGATGTAGGACTGAAATGTTTTATGCTAAGTAGTTTGCGGAGATGGGTGGGTGACATTCAGGGGTCACAGCTCCCTGGGGAATGGACTGCCATTGTCCTTGGGGGTGGGCCGTCGTTGGGTTAATTGCTCAGGCTGGGAGTCAGAAAGCCCCAAGATGGCTCAGTCACTTGCTCTTCACCACACCTCTCCAAGCCTCAGTTTGCTCATCTGGAAAATGGAGGCCCAGTTCCAGAGGCTAATCTTAGAGAGATAGGTAAAGCGTTAGGCAGGTGCCCGTGGCTGTCGTCATCACCCTCACCTCCTCTGTTGAACAAGACAGGAGAAAGAAAAGGCATATTATTATGCCATTTGCTGGCTTTGTGATCTTGGACAGGTAGCTCTGTCTCTAGCTCAGTTTCCTCATCTGTAAAGCAAGGGTAATAGTACTTACCTCAGGAGTATGGTGAGGGTTCCATATGACAACATTGACCCAGACATTCTGAGTCCTCACTCTGTGCCCGGCACTCCCCAGAGCCCCGTGAGTGTGGGTATTACCTGCAGAGTGCTGACAAGGCAGCAGGCCCCACACAACACGCCTGGCACATAGGAACCAGCAGATGTGAGTGTTAATATTACTGCTGTTGATGATGTTATTTCCTTCGTTGCTAAAGGAGCAGTGCAGGCAGAAAAAGAAATAGGAGACATATCCCCCTTCTCTGACAAATGCTTGCTGCTGAGGCTCAGGATTTTCCTCCATAAAATGAAAGCAATAATTTTGCCCCACTCCCGCCTGCATTGCTGTGAGGATCAGATTCCCCACTCCCGCCTGCATTGCTGTGAGGATCAGATTCCCCACTCCCGCCTGCATTGCTGTGAGGATCAGATTCCCCACTCCCGCCTGCATTGCTGTGAGGATCAGATTCCCCACTCCCGCCTGCATTGCTGTGAGGATCAGATTCCCCACTCCCGCCTGCATTGCTGTGAGGATCAGATTCCCCACTCCCGCCTGCATTGCTGCACTCCCGCCTGCATTGCTGTGCCTGCATTGCTGTGAGGATCAGATTCCCTACTCCCGCCTGCATTGCTGTGAGGATCAGATTCCCTACTCCCGCCTGCATTGCTGTGAGGATCAGATGCCCATCACAGTGCCTTATAGAGAACTAGCATTCACATAAACATCAGCTGCTTCTGTGTGGTTTCTGTGGGAAGTGGATTTTCTCAGAGGACTCCAGGAAGCATAGTGCTCCTGGCCAGAGTCTTGCCAGTTAACAGGTAGGGATACCCCTGGCTCAAGCAGCCACCCGGAGTACCTGGAGGTGACCTGGCTCTATTGCTAGCCAACTGTGGCTTCAATGTCCCCACTTGACACTGAGAGGCAGCATATTGTTAAGAAAATATTGTTAAGAAAGCAGATCTGGAGTCAGACAGCCTGAGTTTCTGGTTTAGACTCCACCATTCATTGCGTGTGACCTTGGGCAAGTCACTCCCTCTCTGTGCATCAGTGTCCCCCTCTGAAATATGGGGTAAATAATCAGATGCATCTTTCCCTGGTCATAACCTCCCTTCCTATTTGAGATCACCAATATCCTAACTCTTATGGTAATCATTTCCTTGTATTTCTTCATAGTTTTGCTGCTTATATATGCATCCCTCAACAATGGCCTGCTATCGCACGTAACGAGAATGGAATCATACAATATGTGTCTGGTTTCTTTCACTCAACATTATATTTGTAGGATTCACTCATTTTTATTAGTCTATTTCTGTTGCTTATAACAAAATACCTGGAACTGGGTGATTTATAAGAAAACAAAATTTATTGCTTACAGTTTTGGAGGCTGGGAAGTCCAAAGTCCAGGGTACACATCTGGTGACGGTCATCTTTGGTGGTGGCTTTACAGCAAGGCAGGGATCTCACGTGGCAGAAAATGCAGGTGCAGAGAGAGAGCTAACCTCAGTTGGCTCCTATTGAAAAGCCATCAGAACCACGACTATGACCACAATTAATCTTTCAGCTGATTACTCACTGAATGGATCAATCCATTCACTGGGCATGGTCCTCACAATCCGATCACCTCTTCAAGGCTCCACATTTCAATTACCGTAATAGGATTTTCCACCCTCCCAACAGTCATGGTGGGAATCAAGCTTCTAATATATAAAACCTGGGGGACACAACTCAGTCCTTATCACTCTTGTTGCAGCTGTGACTTGTTCCTTTTTCTGGCTGTATATTTTTCCACTGTATGAGTGTACCACCATGTGTTTATCCATTCTTTTGACTGACATTTGGAGATCCTTGTACCCATATCCCAGGGCACGCTTGCATGATGTCTCCAGGCTGTGGTCGTAGGAGAGGAGGTGCTAGATTTATTGATTAAGCCTGCTTTCAAGTTTAACAGAGATTGCTAAGAAGTTTTCCAAAGTGTTTGTACTGGGCTAGCCAGTTAGCTCAGTTGGTTAGAGCACTGTGTCGTATCACCAGGGTCAAGGGTTTGGATCACCATATCGGTCAGACACTAAAAAAACAAACAAAAAAACAGAATAAAGTAGTTGTACCAGTTTACACACCTAACCAGCCACATAAAGGGTTCCAGTTGCTCCACATCCTCACCAACCCTTGATATTGTCAGACTTTTTAATTTTTACCAATCTGGTGGGTGTATAATGTAAGGTTTCCTTTTTACCTAAATTTATTTAATTTTAAAAAGTGGATTTAACTAAAAGCATCAAGTTAAAAAGCACAGATGGTATGTGGGATATGGCAAATACTCAGAGGTTTTGGAAATGTGTCGCTAACTGGTATTTCTGTTTCAGCTGACTCCACGGGAACCCACTCCCTCTACACGACATACCAGGACTACGAGGTCATGTTCCACGTCTCCACCCTGCTCCCTTACACCCCCAACAACAGGCAGCAGGTCAGTGATCTTCAACTGATGCTCCATTGGGCCTCAAGGCATTCTCCCTCCTTGTGGTTGTTGGCAGCCTGCCTACCTGGCACTGGCTCACCTGCTACCATCCTGTGGATCAGATGGAGGCTCTTAGTCTTGGAGATCCCGTGTTCCATGATCACTTCACCTGGGGGTTAGAGACTAGGCCAGCTGTGGCTTGATGTCTGTTTGGCGCCAGTTTTTCTTGCTGTTCCTTGGCTACCCTGCTTGCCCCTAGCTGCTCTGACTCCCTCAAGGATCTCTTGAGTCATCACTGGTCTTTTGAAAAAGAAGAGTGAATCGGTCAACATTATTTTGGCTGCAGGTGACCGAAACTGAAAACAAACTGACATAAGCAAAAAATGGGATTTACTGGGTTGTATAGCTCTAAGGTTCTAGGAGAGGGCTGACTTTAGGTATGGATAGATCCAGGGGCTCAAACAATTTTAGGAATCCTCTCTATTTCTCACCTCTGCTTTTCTTTGTAGTGGTTCCATTCACAGGTCTTCCCAAATAGTGGCAAAGATGCGTCCTAGCAGCCCTGGGCTCCCATCCTACAAGCGTAGTCACTCTAGGGGAAAGAGAGTTGTTTCTTCCTGTTGTCCCAGAAATGTTTCAGAGCTGAATCTCATTGGACCATTCACATGCTAGTCCCCAGGCCTCGGGTGGGCATAGAATGGGCTGAGTAGCCAAGCCCGAGGCACATGCCCACCCCTAGAGAGGGTGAGTGGGGTCAGCACAACTCAAAACAAACAGAGGTCAGGGAGATGCTTTCCCAAAGGAGAGTGGGTGTGGCTCCTGGAAGAAGGAAGGAAGGGGTACTGGGTGGGCAATGATGGCAAACACCTGTTGCCAGTGTGATCCGTCTCCTCCTGGACACACCATGCAGACTGGGCCCGGGGAGCAACTCTTCCTAGTTCCTAATGAACAGGAACCCCACGGAGTACTGATAGCTTAGGAAGTACATATTTTTTCCCAGTCAGTACATGTGACATTGTAGATTTTGTAGGCCAAAAATGGTTAAATGTCAGCAGTTTCATAAGGTTAACCTAATAGTGTGCTGTTAAGTACATCATTCTCAGAATTAGACCTGAGTTTGAGTTCTTTCTTTGCTATTGCCTAACTGTGATCTCGGGCAAGTGATTTCACCTCTCTGAGCCCCAAGTTCCAACTCTGTAAAATGGGCAGAATGATAGTGCCCTTGTCTCAAGGTTGTTGAGAAAAGTCCATGCTCTTATGCATGAAACCAGAGTGTGAGGTGGGGCCCAACACATAGGAGGGGCACAGGAAGCAGTGCCTATTCCGGTGTATTTGGGAGGCTTGGTGGGGAAAGCTGGGCTTGTAGAATCAACAGAAGTGGGTTAGAATCCTGGCTCTTGGCTGACTGGCCTGTTAGCTCACTTGGGAGAGCATGGTGCTGACAACACCAAGGTCAAAGGTTCAGGTCCCCTTACCAGCCAGCCACCAAAAACAACAAGAGTCCTGGCTATTTCCTTCCATCGCTGCATGACTTAGGGCAAGTCATTTAACCTCTGTGAGCCTGAGTTTTCTCGTCTATAAAAGAGTGAATGAGTTAATGCCTCACAGGGTTGTTGTGAAGATTAAATGAGATTGTGAGTTAAGATATGGATATAAAATGTCTACTACAGGATCAGCCATAGTAAATAGGTACTTTCTCTAGCAATTAATTTAATGCAGTTTAAAACACACGTAAAGAACTAACAGCTCAGTGGATGAGTTGAGCTGCTAAGTGTGTCTGGATTTCATACTGTGAGCCACCTCATTTATAGATAACGTGGGACTCCCGTCTGTGGATCTCATGTTACTGACATGGATTCTTTAACAGATACATGAAGACTAAACTTGTGTAAATCAGAACAGTATAATATCAGCAAATACACAAAATGTCATGAATACATCATCACCTGTGAAGATAATAGTCTTCCTTCAAGACTGACAAGCAGGAGAGGGGGTGGGGCCCCCACGGCCAATCTGAAACCACAGATGCCCTGACCTTCTCAACTCAGTGTCCAGGGAGGGGGTGGCGGCCTAGAATTGGCCCTGCCAGGAGTCTCTGATCTGACTCTACCATCATCCATGAGTGTGGCTTTGAACAAGGCGAATGCCATTGGCCTGTGCTCTCTTTCAGCAGATACTTACTGAGCACTTCCTGTATGCCAGGCACTGTCCTAGGTACTGAGGATATAGCAGTGGGCAGTGAACAAAACAGAATCCCTGTTCTCATGGAGCTGACACTCACGGGAAGAGACAGACAAGAAACACAAGGAAGAGGGGAAAGTCGCTGTATGCTGTCAATACACATTGAGTAATGCATGCAGAAAAGCAGAAGTAGGGTAGTGTTGGGGCTGCGGTGGATCTTGGGTTAGATAGTCAGCAAAGGCCTCCATGGAAGAGTGACATTTCAGCAAGACCTGAGGAGGTGAGGAAGGAAGCCCTGTGGGGGCGTGGGGGAAGAACATTCCAGGCAGAGGGAAAAGCTAGTGCGGAGGCCTCTAGAGGGAAATGTTTCTGGCGTGTTTGAGGAGCAGCAGCAGGGCATAGGAGATGTCAGAGAGGTAATGGGGGCCCACCTTGTGGGGGCTCCTGGACCATGGTGGAGATTTTATCCTTCACCCTGATTGAGAGGGAGCCATGGGAGGGATATGATCTGAGTCAGGTGTTCATGGGCTTCCTCTGGCTGTATGTGGGGGGCAGACTGTGGCAGTTGGGTGGAAACAGGGAGACAGTGAGGGTCTGTTACAATGGTCCAGGCAGGACCCCTAGAGTCAACCTATGACACTTTCCTCTCCCTTCTCTGTTGCCCATTTACCAGCTACTAAGGAAGAGGCACATTGGAAACGACATTGTGACGATCATCTTCCAGGAGCCTGGAGCACTGCCCTTCACTCCCAAGAATATCCGCTCACACTTTCAGCATGTCTTCATCATCGTCCGAGTCCACAACCCCTGCACTGATAATGTCTGCTACAGGTATGCACCGCCACACACTGACCCCCCCCGCCCCCCACCACCATGCACGCACACTGGACATCCGAAAGCTGATATCCAGCATCAGGCAGCGTGCAGAGAGAGCCAGTCAATGCGGGCTGCCTCCTGTGCTTCTTATTAGTGCTTCAGTAGGGGGAGCTTTGTCCACACATTCCACACCAACCAAGAGCGTGGTGCTCTACCAGAAAGGGGCATGGCTCCTGGTTTTGATAAGGAAACCATCAAGGATTTGTATTTGCTTGGAATCTTTTGTTGCAAGTGACAGAAACCTCAACTCAATCTACCCTAAAGCAAAAAGCTAGTTGTGTATTGGCTCTCAAACATGACAGGTTGGGGCATAGCTGGATCTGCTCCACTCTCCTATACGTTGCTTCATTTTCTGACAGCTCTGAGCTTAACATCCTACCAGCTTCAAATCCAACAGAAAGAGAGCTTTTCTTTCCTAGAAGTTGTATCCTGAAGCCCCAGAATTGGGGCTCATTGACCTAGTTGGAGTCATGTGCCCATCCTAGAGCCAATATGACTGGCCGGGCCTGGGCACCAGGCTGCAAGGACTGAGAGGCACAAGAATGAAGGCCCAAAGGAGAATCGGAAGATGGAAGGATGCTAGGTAGGGCAGGCAGGGACCTGGAGAGTTGAGGGATTTTAACTCACAAATGGACAAGCAACACAGGCCTCATACCCATTCTGTATCCTTGTCTGTATGCTCTCCAAGCAACAGTGCTCACCCAGGGTAGTGGCCAGCTCCCCAAGGACAAATGGAAAGCCCTCAGGATATGGGTGGGAGGATAGAGCAGTGGTCCTTGAAAACCACCCAATCAATAACCCAGGCCCAGGCCAAGGTCAGCACTTGTCCCTGGAGACTCTGGGTAATGATTTGAAATTCCAAAGATATAAAGGGTATGCAGATGGAAGTCTCCCTCCCACCCTGACCCCCACCTACCTAGTTGTCTTCACAGAGGCGACCATGTTAGCTATTCCTTGTGTATTCTGATACTTTATGCATATACAGGCAAATATGTATAAGTATTCCTTTTCCACTTATTTAATATAAATGGGAGCATATCATACATATTGTCCTGTATCCTGTATTCATGCAACAGTCTTCGAGATCTTTCTGTACCAGTACATAAAGTGCTTTTTCATTCTCTATGACCATTGTATGATGCATGATAATCTCTCCTGTCCTCTGTTGATGGGACTTGGGTTGTTTCCTCACACCTGCAATGAATGACCTTGTTTATATTCTCATTGCACTGAAGTCCAAGTATAAGCTGTAGGATAAATTCCTAGAAATGAGGGTGCTGGATCAAAGAGTATGTATGTATGTGACCTGGTATTCTTGGTGGAATTGCCAGATTTTTCTCTCAGCTGGGTGCATGAGAGAAAGGAGGGACATTCCTGTGTGTAGCACTTGCTGTTGAGACCCACTGTGCTGGGTGTATAGCCAGTGGCTGCTGGGAGCCCACACTGCATGGCAGAGGCTCCTACGGCTTGTTCCCAGGCCTGAAGCCCATTTGTTCCTGGGACATCCAGTGGCATCTACAGTGAGCGTGCACCCTGGTATCAGTGTGAGCTGAGGACACTTAGGGTTTAAAGGTATGTTGTTCCTGAGCAGCTGAAAGGTAGCCCTGCTGAGGAAAGGTGGGAGATATTCACACAGGCACCTCAGAAAAGGAGACAGCCTTCAGAGTTAGGTGGTCAAGGGCTCAGGTGGGCCCTTCTCCCCTTCTTTACCACTCTGGCCTCCCCTCTCCTACCTAGGCCATCACAGTAGCCTGTAGCCGACCTCCCACCTTTCCAGGCCAGTCTCTGCAGCATCTCTAGTAGGATTTCTTCTTTCTGATGAACAAAGCTTTCTTGTTTTTTACACTTTAACTTAAAATATTTTTATTATGCAATATTTTAAGCGTTCTGAAAAGTGCAGCAAATAGTGTAACAGATACCCATGTGCCCACCAGATTTAACAGATGTTAACATTTTGCCTTATTTGCTTCAGCTCTCCTTCTTTTCTTTATTTTACAGAAAGGTCGGTTGGTTAGAGTGTGGTGCTGATAACACTAAGGTTCGGGTTTCAATCTCTGTACTGGCCATCTGCCAAAATATTTTAAAAAACAATGACAGGAAACAGAGATACAGCCAAAGCTGTCCCTCACGCACCTCCCTCCCTCCCTGTTTCCTCCTTTCCCTCTGCACAGACCTGACCCCATTGCTCCCCTGTGGAGGGAGCCTGTCCACAGCTCTCCAGCCCCGACCGACCCAACCTGACTACCTGCCCCTCCAGACCTCCCAACTCCGGCCTCCCCCCTCAGTGAACTTCCACTTGTCCTTTATGATTGAACTCAGACATGCCTCTGACACCCTCCAGTGGTTTGTTACCCCCTCATGTGCTGTCACCAAACATGTTTCTGTCACAGCACTTGTCACACCATAAAAACAACTTATTTATGTGGCTCTTGCCTCCCTTGAAGGTAACCTGATGACATATTTACCCTCCTATGTCTGTCAAGGCACAGTGCTTGGCACATAGTGGGTCCTCATTTTTGCTGGCTAGACAAATGCCTGGGCCAAACATTGTAGGCACAGAGAAAATCATTGTTGAATAAATAATTGTGAGTGTTCTAGAAATACCTATTGAGCAGCAATGATCAGGTGACCTGGTGGTCACGACATCTCCTGGTTGTGTAATGAGTTGTCATCCTGTCCCGTTTCAAGCGTGCCATTTCTGAATAGCACACCAGCATCATCCCTGCAGCCTGTGGATTAGAAAAACTCAGGCCCTCCTGCGGGGAAGTGAGGGACCAGCTGTTCTGATTTTCCAAAAACCTACAAGCAGTTTACAGTTTCATGATTCTTAAAATCATGACTCAGGACTATGGGAAAAGCCAAAATCTGTCACTATAAGCAGCGAAGTGCTGAATGGAGAAGTTGCAAAGCTCTTCACATCTGTAAAGCACAATCTGACCACACCATTAATTAGAGTTGAGAGATGGGTGAGGTCATCTCATCCATCCCCCTGCCTGGGGCAAGGTCATGCCCACAAGATTTCCCACAGAAGAAAAATTGCCTGGTTTGTGTAGCATTCTTTGAAGAATGTCTGCACCAAGAAATGCCTTTTTCTATTAGACAGCTGTACATTGGTAGAAATCAGTTTCTTCTGGGTCTGTCTGTTCAAGTTGAAATCATTGCTTTAGTCAGCATTGAGTACCTGTGCTGGTGCCTGGGGAATCCGCTAAGCCCCGGGGGGTACCTGCCCATGTAGCACTCCTGGGCATGAAGGGTCACTAGACAGTGAACAGTGGAGATGGAGAGCAAAGTGTCTGGCCGGACCCACCAGGGTTATGCAGTAGCTCCCTCACAGGTCTCCTGCAGTCCCTTCTTCACAAGGCAGCCACAGTGACATTTGCAGATTGCCAATCCGTTGTCACTCTTTGCCAGCACCTACATCCATCAGGACCCCAGCAAGAAGCAGATGCCCTCCTCCCCACTGCCAAGGATTTAACTGAAGGAAGTTAATGAACAGACTACTAACAGAGATGTGGGTAGGTTAAGAGAATCAGTATGGGAAAATGAGGCATCCAGGAACTAGTAACAGCAGGAAGCCAGTACTCCACCCCTGAGGCTTAAAGGGGTGAGGGGAGTAGGAGGAGAAGTTTCTGGAAGCTGGTGAGAACTGTAGCCCTGGGAGTGGGGCCACTCAACAGGAACAGTAGCTATAAGGAACCAAGGACAACAGCCATTGCTAGTGTCACAGCCCAGCAGGGAGGGAGTGAAGTTAGATATCCCAGCCTCTCTCTCCATGCCCTCCCATCTCCTGCCAGTGCTTCCAACTGGAAGCCAGAAGGCAAGGAAACCCAGGTGACACAGCTATAGAGATCTTTGTGCTGGAGCGTTGAGCAGAGCAGGGAATGGAGACTGGACCTGAGGGGACAGACAGTGTTACCAGTGGATCCGATCATTAAATGGTTATGTGTTCCCACCTTGAGGGTGGAAAGGGCAAACACACTACCAAGGCCCTATGTAGCCTGGCCCCTGGTGACCTAACCAGCCTCCTTCTCCTCGCTGTCCAGGCTCTGGCCACCCTGTCCTCATTCAACCCTGTGCGTGCCTTTTCCTGGTCAGGCCATTGCAAGTGCTGTGCCCTCCCCCAGATCTTCCTCTGTACATTGTACGTTGCTTCTATTCAACCCTTGGATCTCAGCTTAATTGTCATTTCCTCAGTGAGGCTCTCCGGATTCCCCTGTCCAAATCAGGTCCTTGTGTTGTTCTGTCATAACACACCCTTTTCACTTTCTTTTTCTGAATAATATTGTGTGTTTGTCTAGTATGCCTCTCCTCCTAGATTAGAAGCTCTGGAAAGTCAGGGACCACTATATCTCCAATGCCCAATGACTGTCACACTGTCCCTGTTGTCAAATGAAGGGAGGGGACAGGGAGTCAACTGAACCTGAACAAGCACTACATTGTGTTTGGGTTTCATGGAATATTTTTTCATTAGTAATCTCTTTATTTAAAAACTTATCCTACAATAGGAAGAGAAACAGTAGGAACTCTCAACATTATACTCACAAGTTGAGGTTTTTATAGAGGATAAATATAATATACTTTAAGAAAAATTTAGTTACCTGTTGCTTGCTCATTTATATCAACTCATACAGTTGTTATGTAAACAGCATAATTCAAGCAGCCACAAGAGCCACTTTCCCCCGCCCCTGGGGTGCACTGTGGCAGATGCCTCGGCCTTTCTGCTCGCTTTTAGAAATCGTCTGCTCAAAGGCCACCGAGTCTCCACTTGATTTGATCATCAGAACATCACATCCGAGATATTCATTCATCAATCCGCAAACTTGACGCATCAACGTATCTCCCCATCCCAGCTCAGGGCAACTTACACTAGGAATCCTGGTGGCTAGGGAGCCTGGTTACCGCTCCTGTTTCTCCACCTTTCATTTCTCCTCCTCCCAGCTCTGCTAAATGCCAGATTCTGACCCACCCAGGGTCAGAGCACAGGGAGGAAAAAGGGGACAGGAAAGTGCCCCTTGGACTGTGGTCATAGCTGGCCATCTCCGCCCTCTAGATCTCACAGGCAAGAGGCAAACACTAGACTTCTCACCACTAAAAGGGTCACCGAGGAGGCCCCTGTGGGGAGTGGGGTGGTGAGGTGGGGAATGGGGCTCACCACCCAGCTTTCTCCACAGATTTCCTCCTCCTCTCTGTAGTTTGCATAGTGGTGGGCTTCAAAAGTTTTGGGGAACAGGTTTTTAGATCATTTCCTTTTTAAATTCTCACTGAGTTGCTATCTGATTTTTATCGTAATGGCATCTCTGTCAAACTGAAGCAGAAAGAATCCCATTTTAAGTTCCTCTTACAATGAATTTTCAAAATAAGCCTTGTTGAGATGATTTACAGTGGGTGTTAATGTTACACAGGAGTTGAAAAGAACTAAACCAGGGCCAGCCCATGGCTCACTTGGGAGAGTGTGGTGCTGATAACACTAAGGCCACAGGTTCAAATCCCTATATAGGGGATGGCTGGTTGGCTCACTTGGGAGACTGTGGTGCTGACAACACCAAGTCAAGGGTTAAGATCCCCTTACCAGTCATCTTTTATAAAAAAAATAAAATAAAAGAACTAAATCATATAAATGTTCCATGTCAGTCAGCTATTCCTACAGTAATGATGATTAACAGACCACCTCAGAACTTAGTGGTTCACACATCTGTAGGTGAGCTGGGGTCTGGCTGGACTTGGCTTCAGATCTGTTCAAGGTGTCCTTCATCCTTTTGGGACCAGTAGGCCACCAGGGCCTGTTCATCCCATGGCACTGGCAGGAGCATAGGAGGCAAGCCTTTGCATGAAAGCCTTTGGTCGAGTCAAGTTACATAACCAGGCCCAGGATCAGTGGGGTGGGATGTGCCAGCCTACGAAGGTAGAGGGGAAGGAGTGGATTTTTGCCAAACAGTAATCTAATCTACAAGGATCACTGAAGTTGAACAATACTTGGGGAACTGTCCTTTGATGTCTGTGGATGCTCAGACATCTACTGTATAGAAAGCAAAAACATATGAATGTGCCCTAAGACTTATTTTTTAAGTTTCTAATCTAGTTAGCAACTTACTACTCAGATGTAGACTTTCATTCTCAAAAGGAAACTCTTATTTTTGCCCCTATATTTTCTTTCTTTGAAAGAGTCTTAGTGCTTTTTTTCCCCCACCATCTAAATGATTTCTCTCTTCTCAGTATGGCTGTGACCAGATCCAAAGATGCTCCTCCTTTTGGTCCCCCCATCCCCAGTGGAACCACATTCCGAAAATCTGATGTCTTCAGAGACTTCTTGCTGGCCAAGGTGATTAATGCTGAGAACGCCGCACATAAGTCTGACAAGTTCCACACCATGGCCACTAGGACCCGCCAGGAGTACCTCAAGGACCTGGCTGAAAACTGTGTCTCCAACACACCCATTGACTCTACTGGCAAATTCAACCTCATCTCCTTGACCTCCAAGAAGAAGGAGAAGACAAAAGCACGGGCAGGTGCTGAGCAGCACAGTGCAGGGGCCATTGCCTGGAGGGTGGCGGCTCAGGACTATGCTCAGGGGGTGGAAATTGACTGCATTTTGGGAATTTCCAATGAGTTTGTGGTGCTTCTGGACCTACGCACCAAAGAGGTGGTGTTCAACTGCTACTGTGGGGATGTCATTGGATGGACCCCAGACTCCTCAACACTCAAAATCTTCTATGGGCGAGGGGACCACATCTTTCTACGGGCCACAGAGGGCTCTGTGGAGGACATAAGGGAAATCGTGCAGAGACTGAAGGTAAGGGGGAGAGTTCACCAATGGGGCAATGGTTATATAGTTTGGCAGGGGCCTTAGAAATCACCCAAATACTTCCCCTAGCCTAGTAATTAGGCTAAGACACTAACTGGCCCCAAGAGAATCAGAATCATAACTTACACACTATGGGTGTGGTAGGTCCTGCAGCACAGGTTTTTTCTGGGGAAGGTTTGGGCTGGGGATCTGAGGCACACCACACCATCATCTTGGAAGGACAAAAGATATATTTATCAACCCTAAAAATTGATAGAAAATATAAGTTTAAGCTCATGATAAAAATGTCAGTACTTTCTAAAAGAATTAAAATAGAACAAAAAGGTTCCAGACCATTAAAGGATGGGGCAGAGGCAAGGGGGAGAAAAAATATAAGAAAGCATAATAAAAGAAACAAAATAAACACGAAATTACATGGTAGGAGTAAGTTCCATGTTAGTAATCACAATAAATGTAAGTGGTTTAACTTCCCCTATTAAAAGACAAAGACTTACATTGTGGATAAAAATCTTACCCTAAACTGCTAGTGGACAACTCAGACTCAGACTATTGGCCAAACCAACAGTGACAGATTGGTGACAACTTAGTTGGTAATGGCTGCCTGAAGCATTGTGCTAAGAAGTACTCAGACCACATCTGAGCTCCACAAGAAGGAACACTGTGGTCAGTGACTGCCTCTGCAGTGGATTTAGCAAAGTGGCATGTCATGCTTACTAAATAGCAAAGGTAACTTTGCTATCAGACCAAATGATCTACTGGAGTCAGAAGACCTGGCTTCAAGTCCTAGCCCTGCCAATTACCAGCTGTGTGACCTTGAGCTGTGTTATTTAGCCTCCATGTGACTCAGTTTCCCCATGTGAAAAATTGGAACAAGACTCATCCTACATCATGTAAAAGTTTTAAGGATTAGATGAATTATGTTGCCCAGACAAGCTTGCCTGACTTGGTAGGCTCTGACCTCCTGATGCCATTGTCACTGGAGGCTGTCCTCACCATTCTAGGCCTTTGCACTCTCTCAGTTCATGTTGGATTGGAAAAGCTCTGTTCTTAGCTTCCCTGACTCCAAAATTTGTGCCGCTACAGGAAACAATAGCCAGTGTTTAGGTTTCTGTTAGGTGAGTCCGGAAATCAAGGCTTCTGTCTGTTTTGCTCACTTGCTTATCTCATATGCCTAGAACAGGACTGACACATAGTAGGTGTTCAATAAACACTGGTTAGTTGGTTAGTTGAATGAATGTATTCAACATTTTATGTGTACCATCTCATATAATCCTCACACCCACCCCATTGAAGTATAGGTCCTGTTGTTGTCCCCACTTGACAGATGAGGAAACTGAGGCTCAGGGAGGTATAGATACTCACATAAAGTCAAATAGCCAGTAGGTGGCAGAACTGGGGAGTGAATCCAGGCTTTTCTGACTCTAACAGCTACTTATGCCCAAACTCAAAAATGGTCTTCAACCACTTACTCAGCATCCCTACTTGGGTGTGTAAGAGACCCTTGAAACTTAACACGTCCAAGATTAAACTCCAGGTATTCCTTCCTAACCCTCCCAGAGTTTTCCCATCTTAGTAAAGGACAAGTCCATCCCTCCGTTTGTTGAGGTCAGATCCTTGGCGTCAGCCTGAGCTGCTCTCTCTCTCATACCTACATCCCGAGTGTCAGCTCCACCTTCAGTAGGCAGACTCCAGCTGCTTCTCCCCCTCTATAGCCTCCACCTGATGCAAACCACCACTGTCTATGTCAGACTATTGTGGTGGCCTCTTCCCTGGTCTCCCTCGCCTTACCCCCTGCCTCTGATCATGTCACTGCTCTGCCCCAACCCCTCAGCTCACTCAGGTGAAAGGCAAAGTCCTTACAGTGGCCTGTGAGGCCTTGTATGATCTGACTCCCTGTCACTCTCTCTGCCCCAGCCACACAGACCTCTGCTGTTTCTCCAGTGTGCTAGGCAGGCATCTAGCCTCAGGACCTTTGCATAGTCTGTACCCTCTTTCCAATTTTGCAGAATACTCTTTCCCTAATCCCCATGTGGCTTGCTCCCTCCCCTCCTACAGGGCTGTAGTCACAAGTCACCCTGTCATTGAGGCCTCTTTATCTGAGACTGCAAATTCCCTTCCCGGACTTGGCCTGAGGCATATTCCACCTGCTTTGCCTGCCTCACCACTATCTGACATGTGTTTATGTGGTAGTTGTTCGCTGCTGTGTCCTCAGCACCTGGTACAAAGCAAATGCTTAGTGAACGTGTACTGAGTACATGCATGAATGTGTGCTCTCCTGTAGTGATTGCAGTAGTGAACGCTTGGGGGGCAACTATGTGTCAGACCCTGCTCAGTGCTTTGCATGGCTTTGCATTTCTTCCACACAGAAGCCCAACGAAGTAGGTACTGTTATCCTCACTTCACAGATGAGACAACTGAGGCCCAGAGAGGTAAAATGACCTTCACAGGGCCCAAAGTGAGTTAAGAGGCTTGGTCCTTAAACATTAGGCTATTCCACCTCCCCAAATCCTGATGGCAGCTGGCATTTCTTGAGCAGGGACCATGCCAGGCACTATGCCAGGTTACATATTTTACCCGCATCCATCCTCTCTGTGCTGCTCTGTCCCATGCCCACCCCCATGCCTTCTGTTGGAGCACATTTCCACAGCCATTCCCCCACACCCTGCCTCAACATCCCAAAGTCTGCTGAGGAACCAGTGGGCCAGAACGCAGTGACATAAGGTATCTTCTGAGAATGGGTAGGTGCATCGTAAAGGACTCATGACAGCGAGTCTCTCTTCTTTGTCAGGTCTTCCAGGGTGAGGATCCCACCCCCACCCCCATTGCTTCATTTGTTAATAGAACAAGTTTTATTATGTACCTGGCCCTGGGCTGAGCAGTGCTGGGACAGAGCAGTGACCATAGTGGGCCCAGGCCTGCCCTCATGGGACTCCCATCTGGGGCAGATATTGAACAAGGAATTACAAGTGCCAAGAGGTTAAAAGGGGGGTGTTGAGGATGCCAGGAGAAACTATCACAGGGAGCAAAATTAAATGAAGAGAAGACCTCAAGTCCACAGGTTGGATACAGCCCACAGACATATTTAGTTACCACAGCTTAACATTTAAAGGATTTTATATCAATCTGGCTTTCTGGCTTCTCTTGAAAAATTGAGGGATCTGGCTATACTGGGCCCATGTTTGCACAGGGAAATGGTCACCTGAAGCAGAGTGATGGGTGCCCCCTGTAGATGGGGCACATGTGCACTGGCCACATCTTTTGTTACGTTACCCACCAAGTGCCCAAGCAGGTGAGCTGGGCCCAGGGAATGGGAAGGGCCTCCCTGAGGAAATGACTTTTAAACTGAGACTGGAACAGTAAGTAAGAATTAATGAAATTAATAAAAGAGAAAATGGCTGGGGAGCAGCACAGCAGCAGGTAATACGTCATCGTGGCTAAAAGCAAGGATTAAGGAGTCATCTGCCCTGTGACCTTGGGAACTGATATCAACTTCAGTTTCTTCATCTGTGAAATAAGCAAATTTGTGGTACCTACTACCTCATAAGTGAGATTTCAGTGAAATTGGGCATAGAAAGGGCTTATCCCAGTGCCTGGCATACAGATCAGCTCCCAGGAAAATGAGCTTTGACAAGGGGCCTGGGCACTGTGGCTGTATGATGCAGCAGAGATTTCTTTGGGTTGGTTTGTGTGTTTGGTGTCATAAGCTGCTCCCTATGCCCTGTATCCTTTCTGGAACCTTGTAAACCTCAGGAATGGCTCTCTTCATGTGAGGCTACCTTTCATTAGCGACAAAAGCAAAGGAGACAGAAGTATTAGAATACTAAGTGACAGAGCAGCTCTCTCTTCCTTGTCTAAAATGATTTAAAGCAGCTGTAGTAGGTAGTTACAGATTGAATTGCTAAAATACAGTGAAGATCCAGTGGCTTAAATAAGATGGGAGTTTCTCTTCTGATTAGTACTCAGGCTCGTCAAGGCTGGCAGGGGCAGCCAGTTAGGCCACACCAAGCCTCGGAGTCCTGGGCTGTTCCCACGGAGAGGGCCCCACCTTTCGGGAGCTCATGTCCCTTCCATCCTGCAGCTCCTCCTTTCCCCTGGATTGATGTAGATAAGTATTGTACTTATATGCATGGTCAAAGCTGAGTCAGTCCATATCCACGTACCTGTCTACAGGAAGGGAGAAAACATGGGTGTGGAGGGCAAGCAACTTTATTTTGAAGAACATGAGGTTGAAGTTCCATCAGTTCATATCCTGTTGGCCAAAACTGAATCATATGTTCTTACCCAGCTGCAAGGGAAGCTGAGAAATGTGGTCCCCAACTAGGTGGCCGGGTGCCCATCAAAACTGCGTTTTGCGGTGGGAGTCTGAGTACTAACAGGAAGAAAAGGAGAGGGATGACGGACGGCAGCTGGCAGTCCTCGCCATGCAGTGTTTGTTGAGCTGTTCCCTACACTCTGTCCGGGCCTCTGGGAAAGGTGGGGCCCTCTCCCTGGGAACAGCCCTGGATTCCGAGGGCTGGTGTGGCCTAATTGGTCATGGTCATGGGCACACAGGACTTTTCTTTATAACCCCCAGCCAAACTCTTTGCACACAAGGGTGACTGCTTCAAAGGGAAGAGGAATTTTAACCCCCAAGGTAGAAGTAATGGGCTAGGATAAATCCAGTCACAATCTTCTCTTTTGAGGCACTAAGCAATCAACTTTCAAGCCAATTACTTTTTAGCTATGGAGAATTTCAAACATACACAAAAATAGAGGGAATCATATGAACCCCTATCCCCATTACCAGCTTCAGCAGTTTCTGACCCATGGGAGTCTTGTTTCTTCCTTCCCTCTCTTACCCTCTTGATTATTCTAAAGTAAATCCTAGACATTATATCATTTCATATGTAAAAGCTTCAATATTTATCTCTAAAAGATACAGACTTTAAAAATAACTATTTTTTCTTGATTGCATATAAATCAACAATAATTCCTTATTGTCAGATAAACAGGTTGCCACCCATGAAAGGACTATGAACTCAATTACTGGGTCTCAGCAATTTTAAATGATAGGTGTTTTAGTCTGTTTGGGCTGCTATAACAAAATCCCTTAGACTGTGTGGCTTATAAACAACAGAAATTTATTTCTCACAGTTCTGGAGGCTGAGAATGGCAAGATGGAGGCACTGGCAAGTTTGGTGTCTGGTGAGGGCCCACTTTCTGGTTCACAGATGGAGCCTTCTCCCTGTGTCCTCGTGGTGGAAGAGGGGAATAAGCTCCTTTGGCCTCTTTTATAAGGGCACCAGTCCCATTCAGGAGGGTTCCACCATAGCAATAGGATAGGAAAGAATAAAAAGCATCAAAGTACATCTCAGTAAGTAAAGGTAAGTACTATTTTGTGAAACATTGTTTTAGTCATATATGTTTCCCCCACATCCCAAATCCTCACTATCCAAATCAGGAACCAAACAGATGTGGTGACATTTTCAGGTAAAGCCTTTGCCGTCCAAACTCTTACTTCTTGCTGTCCATACTCATGATTGTGACAGATTTGGATTGCCTGGAATATTTGTATCTGTGGATGTCTGTGTAAATGTGCAAATGCTTAGAGTAGTTTGTGACATAAAATTATTTCTTACTTTGAGGTGTGATCAGAAGAGCATGAAAGCCAGTGCTCTAGCAGGTACATGAAATAGCATAATGTCTAGCGAGGGAATGACTTCTCACAGGAAATGTGAACCAATACCTGTTCTAGTTCCATAATGCAACTTTAGGAGAGGGCAGGCAGGTCTTGATATAACCTGCTTAATAGCCATAGCTTGTTAAGTTCATCTTTTTTTTTTATCCCAAGAGGAGGAGGGAATCACTAATGGCATGCTGAGGGTCTGCGTATTCTGTTCATCAGGTCCTCGTATATTATGCGAATACATTATCATGGGGACAGTCTCACACAAGCAAAGCACTGGAGGCAAGGCCCTGTGTGGTCTGGTCAGCTGTGTGTTGGGGGAAGTTCTGAGGAGGAGATGGTCTGTGCCTCCGAGAATGCTGTCATGAAGTAAAAGAACATGACACGAGCCCCCACCTGGAAAGGACCCCGGTATTGCTGTTCTGCTGCTTCTCATGCTTTTTCTGGTTCAAGTCGTTGTGTTAGTCTATATTTGTGGCTTAAAACAACATAGGTTTATTTCTTGCTTATGCTGCATGTCCGTCCCGGGTTCAGCTGTGGGCTCAGCTCCACATTGTTCTAACACTGGGACTCAGCTGTCTGAACAGCTCCCACTCTCTAGATTATTACTGGTCTCTGTGGCAGAGGGAAAAGGCCTATGTAGCATCTCCCACTGGCCATTAAACACCCCTGCCCAGAGGACATGCCAGTTGCACTCACAACTCACCCACCTGACCACAAAGTGGCCAAAAAGTACGATCCCACCAGACACCGGGAAGGAGGGTGGCAGGGACGTTCGGAGCCGTGGTCCTGAAAGGTCATAAGCCACAGAGTTGCATTTCCACGTTTCCTCCCCAGAAATCAGGAACCCGGACTGGAACCAGATGGATGCTCACCCACGTGGTACCCTGGCATCACCTGGGAGGGTAAATGGGAGTCGGCAGGTCTTTGGCCTCAAAGTGGGGAATCTGACCCAGGGGTCTTCTGGAGGAACTGATTCAAACAGCTTCTAAGGCTCAGTACCACCCATTGCCTCCAGGTGATGACCAATGGCTGGGAGACGGTGGACATGACCCTGCGGCGGAATGGGCTCGGACAGCTGGGCTTCCACGTGAAGTACGATGGGACGGTGGCTGAGGTGGAGGACTACGGGTTTGCCTGGCAGGCTGGCCTCAGGCAAGGCAGCCGGCTAGTGGAGATCTGCAAGGTGGCCGTGGTCACACTGACTCACGACCAGATGATCGACCTACTGCGCACCTCTGTCACTGTGAAGGTGGTCATCATCCCACCTTTTGACGACGGCACACCCCGGAGGTAAGGGCATATACTCTGAAAGGTGGGAGCCAGGTGGGAGTTGGCAGCTCCCAGAGTGCTGACATGAGGCCTCTCTGGTGCTGTCACTTGAGGCCTTGTAGTGGGGATAGACAAGCCCTTTCTCAGCAGGAATAGTGATAACAGTGACAAGGTGACAGGAGTGAACATCTTTTGAACGCTTGCTGTGTGCCAGTTACTGGTTTAAGCTCATTATTCCTATTTTGTAGACGAAGCACAGTGTCAGAAGTAACTTGTCTGAGGGCACACTGCACTTCATCTGTTTGTTTAGCACATATTTACTAAGCTCCGGCTACACGCAAACTCCATTGGAAGTGCTGGGGATGTAGTGATGCACAAAACGAAGTGCCTGCTCCTTCAGAGTTTGTATCCTACAGGGAAAGACAGGTGGTAAAGAAAAATATATGTGATACAGGATACAGGGGATGAATTCTGAGAAGAAAATTAAAGCAGGATAAACGAAGGGGCTGCAGCGTTGACGGGACTGCTGCTTACAGAGGTAGACAGAGAAGACTCTAGTAGGCTCCAAGCCCAAGGCGGGCATGTGGCTTTCTGGGCCAGTGGGCTCCAGACAGGAGCTACCCAGGGCAGTCACCCAAGTGTGCATGGCCTGGTGTGATCCTGGAGCACAGAGAGGCTGGAGTCGAGTGAGCAGGGTGAGAGCTGGGAGAAAAGGGCCATGGGGAGCAGCTTGGGTTTTATTCTAAGCACAATAGGAAGCCAGTGGAGGACTTGTTTCTTTTGTCTTGTTTCATTTTTTAATGGAACATTTGAAACATAATAAAAATATACTGAGCCCCCAGTTTGAACACTTACCAACATGTGGCCAGTTTTTTTGTATTTTGTTTTTATAATCTCTACATCCTTCCCTGCCTCCCCACCTTGGATTATCTGAAACAATCACAGAACCTCAGAATGTATCTCTGCACAATAAGGACTTTTTTAAAAAATTACACCTAACAAATTTAACAGTAATTCCTTAGTGTCAACTATAAATCTTTAAATTTTCCCTATTGTATCATAGATATGTAGTTTTTTTTGGGGGGGGGGGTCTTTTTTTCTTTCTTTCTTTTTTTTTTTTTTTTGGGGTCTGGCTGGTACAGGGGGCTGAACCCTTGACCTTGGTGTTATCAGCACCATGCTCTGACCAAGTGAGCTAACCAGATATATAGCCAGCCTGATATGTAGTTTTAAAAAAACCACTTTTTGTTACTCAGGATCCTCCTGTTGCCCATGGTTGATGTATCTCCTGAGGTTCTTTTAATCTGGAAATTTCCCTTCCCTCTTTTTTTTCCTTGCAGTTTATTTTGTGAAGAACCAGGTCACTTGTCCTCAGTGTTTCCCACTTCTCGGATTTAGCAGACTGCTCCCCATGGTGTCCCCACCAGTTCCTCTAGCACACGCATTTTCCATAAACTAGAGTCCGAGATAGAATCTTGATCAGTTTCTGGATGAATGTCTTTCAGCCACATTTCTAGGTGTGCATCCATCAGGAGGTGTCTCTGCAGGTGATGCCAAGGGTCAGCAGAGGGTTCAGACGGTGGCAGCCTGGTGGCACCATCGTCGTACAGTTGCCATCAGCACTCCACCTCAGCAGCCATTTGCGGTCACTGCCCAGGTTCTTTATTTTATACGGGCTGCAGAGGAGTGATGTCCCAATTCTATCATTCCTTCTTCATTGATTGGCCGGCATTCTTCTAAAAAGAACTTTCCTTCAGTAACGATTCAGTTACTCTGAGGTGTAATTATACAGGGAAGGCAGGATAGATGTAGTTTTCAGAATAATGAGTTGGTACCCTAGTGACTGCCATAGGTGACCGATGAGAGAGAAAGAGAGAGAATGAATTACTGTGTTCCAAGCTCCAGAAACACAGTGGCACAGAGGACAGGCAAGGCCTTGGCCTTCATGGAGCTAATGAATGGGTCAGGGGAGACAAACAATAAACAAGTAAAAAAGATTATTTCAGATAGCAAAGGGGGAGGCAGTGGAGTGTCGTAGGGAAAGCAGGCTCTGCAGTGAGGTTGCCTAGGTTTGAATCCTGGCTCTTCCCCTCATTAACTGTGACTGTGGGCATCCAGCCTCACTACTTCACCTGTTTCTTCATTCATAAAATGAGAACAGTAATAGATGCTTTCCCCAAAGGTGGTTGTAAAGTTGAAGGAGAGACTTACAAAGCACACAGAACAGCACTTGGCCCACAGGAGGTGCTCTGGAGACACTAGCTGAAAGATGCTGGATGTGAGGAAGATAAAGGGCACATAGCCTAACACGGGACAGGGGTCAGGGAAGGAGTGAGGCAAGAACAAAGGCCCTTGGCTTGTTGACAGACCAGAAAGAGAGCCTTTGTGGCTGGAGCAGATGGAGCCAAGAGGAGAGCACAAGCTGAGGTGACACTAAGTGCCATATTCAAACATGGCCTCGCTGGGCCCATGCTAGGGCTGGCGTGATCCCCACTTTACAGATGAGAAAACTGAAGCCAAGAGTGGACAAGTCACCTGTGCAGAGTTGCACAGCTAGTAAGTGGCAAAGCAAAACTCAAGTCCAGGTTTGCCTAACTCCATTATACTCTGTTGCCTCTAAAAGCCATCAAGAACTGTGGGAATGTGAGTGTGACACTGTCCCACCCTCCTGAGTCATGCCTCCTCTGAATTAGACGGGGGGACAATTCTGGAAAGGCCTGAGCCCTGAAACCAAGGGCTCAGCCATCCCCACTCACACCCTCAGTCCCTTAACCACAGGACTTCAGTCAAGCCCCAGCCATCCCCTGTCCCCAGCCCTCTTCCCATGCCTTCTTCCACCTCTGCAGGGAGCCAAGGCCCAGCCACACCCACTCAGATCTCTGCAGGGGCAAGTCAAGCCAAGGTACCACCACAGGCGAGTTTCCCAGGTTTGCTTCTCAGGCAAGGCCACAACCTCAACCTCCCTGCCTCTCTCTACACACACTCACATTCACACTCATATTCACACTCACACTTGTTCATGCAGTAAGCCAGATTGCCTGTCGGATGACTCCAAAACTCACAGAGCTCAAGAGAGGCCACAAAGGCATCCCCAGACATGCTTTTGCAAAAGCAGGTAGGGACAGAAGTCTGCGGTTCTCTGGTTTGGGGGAGACAAGGCCAGGGAGGGTGCAACCAGACAAACAAGTTCTGCTCCCTGCTCTATTTAGGAAGAAGACTATCATCCTGCTCCTTTTACAAGGCTGCTGCCAAAACAGGATCTCATTTTTACAGGGGCGGGTGTGGATTGGGACTTGGGTGATGTTTAATGTTCTTTAAATGCAGAGGTGTTTAGCTGACGTCATTTGCAGAGCTGATAACCCTAGCTTTGGGGTCCCTCCTGCCTCTCACTGCAACCCTGGCTCCTGGCTTGATTATCTGATAAGCTCTGAGAGGAGCCCGCAGGGATGGGGCAGAGGTGCTGCCACCAGCCAGGCTCTGCATGGTGTGCATCCAGACTCCATGCTCTTCAGACACTGAGTAGAGTACAAGGATCATCCTCCCACCACCGGGCCAGAAGGCTGGAGTTCTTGAGTGAGCTGATGCCTCTGTGGCCTCTGAGCCACAGCTGATCTGGCTCAGGTAGCCAGGAAGACATCCCTGATCCTCTGATGTGTCATCGTGACCTTGGGTACTTGTGCAGGCTCAGGAGGGATGCTCTCATCTGGCTGTCTCTGTTGCTGCCCAGTGGGGACAGCGATCCTGGGATGTTTCTGTTCCCTTTACTTAGACCCAAGGCCTGGGGTCGGGCGTATTGAAACCTCATAAGTGAGTGAGTAGAAGAAAAAGAAAGGAGTCCCCATAAACCCTAGAAAGTAGGCTGTCAGGAATCAAGGAAAAGGCGGCAGTGAGGAAAAGTGGTTGGAGAGCCCAGGGGGGCATTCCCCCTCAGACATCTCCCACACGTGGGCCAAGAAGTTGGAACAGAATATTGATTAATATTTTTGTTGAAGGCAAAAGACAGGAAGCAACCTAAATATTCATCCACAGGGGACTGGCCAAGTAAATCCCAGGTCGTCTGGGTGATGCAATATTAATCAGTGGTTTAAAGAAAATGAAGTGAGTCTGTTTTGCTGAAAGGGCATGGAAAGATGTATTGTTAATTGGGGCCGGGGGGCAAGATGCTGTACAGGGGTACAGGGTGCTCTTATTTTAAATAATGTTTATCTGCATAGGATAGTTCTAAAATAAGATATAAGAAACTAGGAGCAGGGCCGGCCCAGTGGTGCACTGCTACAGTGCGCCGCTTGGGAGCGCGGTGGTGCTCCCGCCGAGGGTTCGGATCCCACATACAGACCAGCCGCTCACTGGCTGAGCGGGGTGCGGGCACAACACCGAGGGTTGCGATCCCGTTGCCGGTCCCGGTCCGGTACGGGCGCGACACTGAGGGTTGCGATCCGTTGCCGGTCACGAAAAAAAAGACAAAAAGGAAAAAAAAAAAAAGAAACTAGGAGCAAAGTTTGCTTCTGGTGGGTGAAACTGAGTGACATGGATGCCCTTTTATACCATTTTAATCTTTGGAAACAATACAAAAACTACACTGATGAAGTGAGGCTTCTCAAATGGTATTGTGTGTCAACTTCATCACAGGCAGCTCAGTAAAATGCAGATTCCTGGGCCCTGCCTCAAGGGGAATTCTGCTATGGATGGTCTGAGATGGGGCCCAGGAATCTGTGTTCTTTACTGAGCACTCAGGGTGATTCAGATGCTGGTGGTTTTCAGATCACTGGGGAAAGCTGGAGAGAAGGATCTGGGAAGGAATTTTTCCAGCACCCCTAGGTAAGCATGGTTGGATTTCAGAAAGTGAAAGGGAAACTTCAGCTTCTGAGTTCGTGGGAAGAGCAGGTAGATAGTCCACAGAATTGGCTAGAGAAGGCAACAGCATCAGCTCCTGTTTGTTCAGAGTCTTTGCTAATGTTCATGGAATGCTCACAGCCACCCGCATCTTACAGATTAGGAAACTGAGGCTCTGAGAAGGAAATCAATCACCCAAAGCTACACTGATGTTAACAGAGCTAGGATCTAAACCGGCCACCTAGCCCAGGAGCCCTGGCTCTCAATCACTCTGTGCTGCCTTCAAAGTGGTTGAATGATGTTTCCCTCTTTGAGGTCATACCCAGAGGCTCCTGGCCCAAAGTGAAGCTGTCAGGGAGAAGTCAAGGACCCAAGAAGTCTACCCACTGGCTCCCAGACCACTGTATAGTGGGCCAGTGTGGTGGTGGTTAAAGTTGGGGGCTTTGGCGTCAACTTACTATATTTAAACCTAGTTTCTACCTCTTACTGGTTGTGTGACCTTGGACAAGTTACCTAACTTCTTTGTGCCTCAATTTACTTATCTCTAAAATGTTTTGTAGGGCTGGCTGGTTAGCTCAGTTGATTAGAGCACAGTGTTACAACACCAAGGTCAAGGGTTCAGATTCCTGTACTGGCCAGCCACCAAAAAAGTGAAATAAAATGTGTTGTACTGATCAGGACTCTGGGTACCAGCAACAGAACCAACCCAAACACAGTGAAGCAAAGTCTTCACTGGCTGATGTACCTAACAAGGGTAGGAGTTAGGTTAAGATCTAGACATGGCTGTCTCCAGGGGCCCACGCACTCCCTCAGTGGTCTCCCTCTCTCACCTGTTTCCTTTTCTGTGTTGCTGTCATTCTCAGGTAGTCTCCCACCTCACGGGGACCAAGATAATTCCTCCCTACACAGCTCTGAACTTAGGGCTCCCTAACTCAGCAGCCCCAGTAGAAATAGATCCTTCCCTCAGTGGTTCTAGAAATAGTACCAGAGTTGATGCTCATTGGCTCTGATTGGTCTTGTTTAGGGTTCCTAACAATCCTGTGCGAGTCATTGTGTCCAGGAGGAGAAAAGATTCTGATTGGTGAGGACTGAGTCACATGCTCATACCAAGAGCCAAGAAGTGGAGTCAGCCCTACCCAGAGCACACAGATCTGTTATCAGAAGAAGAGGGCGCAGAAGCTGGGCAGGCAGGAATGGCAGGTGTGTGCTGCCTGGGGGTGATGATGATGATGCCTGCCTCCACCTCTGCCAAGACTGGCATATCTATGGGCTCTGTTAAGTATTTGTATTGTTATTGTTCCTCACCTGGTACCTAGGGAGGCATCGGTACGAGCCCATCCAAAGAGACAGCTGGAAGGAACTGCTGATGTCAGCTCCAACCATAATGCTGCTGGGAGCACAGTGTGTCAGGCCCAGGTGCTAGAGCACATCCTTAGCTCACCTTCTCATGGCTCTTTAGCAGCCATGTCCTGGACCCACAGCCTCTAAGCTGCCAAGTCCACCAGATCTTTCGCCAAGTGGCCATGAAAGTCCCCTGGGCTCCAGGGAATTCAGGAAGGCCTCAGAGGACCATCTCAGTAGGGGCATGAGAGCTCCCAGGCTGAGGGCTCCTCAGCGCTCAGCTCACACAGCTGCCAGGAGGTGGATTTCATGAGCACAGCCCGCTCCGTGGGCTCAGAGCCCCCTCCCATGCTGCACTGCAGCAGCAGTTGAGAAGCCAGCTCTGCCCTCGGATCTCCCTGCCTGGAGCTGAGAACACTGGTACATGTGCCTGCCTGGTCTGGGGGAAGTCACAGGCCGTTCTGCATCTATTTCAAGGTTCTGGATTTCGTGGCTTTTTTTTTTTTTAACCACCCTGCTAAGTAGGTCACCTGCTCCTCTTCCAGCTGCCTTTGAGCTTCTTTGGAACAAGGCAGATACTGTCCTTTGATTCTGAGGGCATCCACCGTTCTGGCCCTGAGTACCCCCAAGGGGGGCCAAGAGCCAAGACGGTCCGTGGAGGGCACTGGCAGACTCGAGGCTTGTGTCAGGGAGACAGGAGAGGAAGGGAAAGGAAGAGAGAGTGGGAGGAGGGGAGAGGAGGTACAGTAGAAAGGGCCTGGCAGTTGGAGCCCCTGTGTTGGGCCCTGTCCTGGTTGAGGACTCTGAGCTGGTGAGTTTCAGATCAATTTAAAGGGTATCCAGTCGGCCTTTAAAATAGGTCGTCATGGTTCGGGTTTGGCCAAGAAAACCCAGCCCAGGCAGCAGGCACACATGTTCGTCAGCCAGGGACTTTCTAAGTAATGAAGTTTTTCTTCCCAGGGGCTGGCCGGAGACCTATGACATGAATACCTCGGAGCCCAAGACCGAGCAGGACAGCATCACCCCCGGGGGCCGGCCCCCCTACCGCAGCAATGCTCCCTGGCAGTGGAGCGGGCCCGCATCCCACAACTCTCTACCAGCCTCCAAGTGGGCTGCTCCCACCACCCCTGGCCATGCTCAGTCCCTGAGCCGGCCCCCTAAGCAGACCCCCATGGTCCCGTTCCGGGAGTCCCAGCCACTGCACAGCAAGAGGTAAGGACCTTCCCAGGGTCACTACCCCCAGTCCCCACGTCCCACCTGCCCCCACCCGTCCTTCGTCCTCCTCTCCCTCCTGCTGCTTTTTCTCCTTTCTCTTGCTCACCTCGGTTTCCTACCTTCTTCCTCCTCCTCTTTCTGTCTCCCTCTGCTCCTCTGTTCCTCCCTTTGACTTTCATTGTTGCCTCTTGCCCGAGGGCCCAGTGCTGGGGAGCTCAGTGCCTGTGGTTGGAAATCCACCTTACTAAGTATATGATTAAAACTCTGTTTTTTTAGAAGTGAAGGGACTGATAAGAACAAAATTTCGGGCCATGATTTCTTCTTGAAGGAGGCAGGGAAATGGGAACAGTGGATGTGACTGCCACCACTCTAGTCCTTCGGGTGGGTGGCTGCTTCAGGGAGTTTATTATGATGACATATAACTTACAGATATTCTTTCGAATATATTATATACTAAACAATAAAATTTTCCAAAAAATGAAGGAATCCAACTTGCAGAGGAGTGCCTTGTCTCAGGAGAGGGGCGAGAATGGTCTTCAGCAGCCCCTGTCATGGCTGTAGAAACTGAGGGGTGGGGACGCGGCAGTGGAACTGGGAAGAGGGGGCAGGGAGAACCCAGCTTCCCGCCGCACTTTGCTCAGCAGCCACCTCTCCATCCCAAGGAGTGGATAGCAGGTGGCATGTGGCTTAGGGAAAGGTCTGTCTGTCCTCTGAGGGCAAGGGTAACGTCCCTGCCATGCCCTGCCTCCTTCCCCTCTCCTGTGTCTCATTCCAGGCCTGTCAGCTTCCCAGAAACCCCTTACACAGCATCACCAGCAGGGGCCGACAGAGTCCCTCCCTACCGACAACCTTCTGGGAGCTTCTCCACCCCCGGCTCGGCCACCTACGCAAGATACAAGCCATCCCCAGAAAGGTCAGAATTTCTTCATTCTTTTCAAATTAGGGAATCTGATGGAAGCTGTGGATCCTTCTTCCCCAGGAAATGAACACCCCCACACAATTTTATTTGCTATTTTATGAGGTTTCTGGGCCCTTGAAGGTCATCAGAGGACCTCGAGGGGTTGGTTGGCTGTGTCTCATGTTAAAAATGTAGGGCAAAGCTGGGCTGGGCAGGACTCACCATTGCCTTTCTTTGCAGCGGATTGTGATTACCATTTTCTTGACACCTGTGTCACATGTTTCAGCAAGACCATCTACCATCCAGCATGGCCAGTCATCTAACTCTCTCTAGCCCCCACCCCCTAATACTAGGCTATCATCATTATCCGGTTTTCATGATCTTCCAGGCTTCGGTCCTGCCTCCTTGGAGCCATCCCTAACCTGGCAGCCTAAGAGATCTTCCCAAACCCTCCATGGCTCCCCAGTGCCCTCAGGATAAACCCAAACTCTACAGCTTAGCATTCAAGTCCTGCAGGATCTTGTTCCCCAGCTGCCTTCAGCCCTAGTGCCCTGTGTCCTTCCTCCCCCCAGGTCCCTGTCTCAGGGGCAGCCCCACAAAACCCCTGTCCTTAGGTCAGAGCCATGGGCCACATCCTGGATGCCTCCTTTCCTCCTTCCCCCTGCTGTTGTCCACCCATTCAGACTCCTGAGCATCTCTGTCACCCACCCCCTCCCCCTCTCCCCTCTGCCTTACCCCATTCGCCTCAGTGGGCTTTCAGCCTTCATCTTACCTTCTCTAGTCCCCCCTCCGCTCAGCAGCCAGAAAGATCTTTCTGTATCTGACCATGTTTCTCCCCTGCTCCAAATCCTCCCACGACTCCCAGAGCCCTCAGGACAAAGCCTCAGCCCCTCGCTGTGGCCACCAAGGCCCCTCGCACTTCACACGTCTCATGCAGAGCCGCGTGGCAGCCACACTGGCCGCTTTATTTCCTAGCTAGGCTGTCTGCATTTCAGATTCTTGCTCATGTTCTTCCCTTGGCCTGGAGATTCTTCATGCTCCTCACCGCATACACCACCACCATCCTGCCAGCTTAAGCTCCAGTGCTCCTCCTCCAGGAAGCCTTCCCTGGACCTCCCCAGCACAGGGTGAGGCGCTGCCCCTCAGTTCCCTGTGTGTTTCCTGAGCACTGTCATGGCCTTGATCACTCTCCATTCTGTTAGCCCAGTTAAGAGTGTGTATACACATGTGCATGTGTGTTCATTGGGCGGGGGGTGCTGTCCAAGATCTAGGAGTTTTCCATTTCATCTGTGTTCCCATCGCACAGCACAGGGATGGACACATGGCGGATCTTTGGCATATATTTGATGAAAGGATGGAGTGAGTGGATTTGTTTAAATAAAACCACTTGCCTTAAGACCAGGGATCAGTTCACTAAACCGGTGGTTTTCAATCTTAAGCATGTATCAGAATCACCCAGAGGAGGATGTGTTAAAATCCTGGGCCTCACCCCAAAGTTTCTGACCTGGTAGGTCTGGGTAGAGTGTGCCTAACCGATGCTATTGGTCTATGGACCATGTTCTCAGAACTGCCACAGTAAACCATCATTAGAGTCTAAGCCTCTGTTGTAAAATTGGGAAAACATACTGTTTTAGTCCGTTTTGTGTTGCTATAACAGAAATACCTGAGTCTGGGTAATTTATAAGGAAAAGAGGTTTATTTGGCTTACGATTCTGGGACAGCTGCATCTGGTGCGGGCCTCAGGCTGCTTCTACTCATGGTGGAAAGTGGCAGGCAGCCGGCGGGTACAAGCAGATCACACGGGGAGAGGGAGCAAGAGACAGAGAGGAGGTGCCAGGGTCCTTTTAAGCAACGAGCTCTCGTGGGACCTAATAGAGCGAGAACTCACTCATTAATCCCCCCTCCCCCAGGAAGAGCATGAATCCATTCATGAGGGATCCGCCCCCACGACTCAATCAGTTCCAACACTGCCACATTGGAGATCAAATTTCCACATGAGTTTTGGAGGGGACAACACATCCAAACTCCATCACACACCTACTATTCCATCTTCTAGTGGACACCATTCAGCTTTCATTCATCAAAGGGTCTCAAGAGTCTTCCACATTCCAGGTGCTAGAAGGAACATTTGCGGTACTCAGAGGTCAGTGCTTGCTGACTGTGGTAGAGAGAGGATCTTAGAAACCATGTGCCCCCTAATGAGCACTGTAATAGAGCAGAAAGGAACATAGCCCAGCCTTGGAGGTCTAGGCTGGCTGCCTGGAGGAGGTGACATTTGAGCAGAGCTTTGAGAGATTAGTAGGAGTTTGCCACAGAGAGGAGAGAGGAGGTCATTCCAGACCAAGCAGAGGCCACAGCCATGAATAAGCAGGATGGTGTGGAGAGCAGGAGGCGCAGAGAGGAATCTGGTGTGTGGGGGATGGGCTGCCTGGGCAGCAGCAAGGGCTAAAGCTGGACATGGCAGCTGGCACGGAGTGATTAGCCAATGACAGAGGCGTTGGGGATGATGTGACTGGTGACTCTTGGGAGCAGTTTTTTTTCCCCCAAAGTCTTGGTGTGCACCCTTTATTAGTTTTTTAACTTTTTATTTTGAAATAATTACAGATTCACAGGAAGTTGCAAAAAAATGAACAGGGAGGTATCATGAACCCTTCACCTAGCCTCATCCATTGTTAACATCTTACGTAACTATAATACAATATCAAAACAAGAAATTGACATTGATTCAAGCCATAGCGCTATTCAGAATTCACCATTTATACATGCACTTGCTTGTGCATGTGTGTGTCAATGTAGTTCTGTGCAGTTTTATCACATCTGGAGTCTTGTGTGACCATCACCAAATGACCCCTCGTGTGATCCTTTTATAGCCACACTCATCCCCTCCCCCGATCCCTAACCCCTGGCAACCATTAATCTGCTCTGCATCTCTTTAATTATTACTTCATGAATCTTACTTTTTAAGGAATCATACAGTATGTATCCTTTTGAGATTGTCTTTTTAACTCGGCGTAATATCCTTGAGGTTCATCCAAGTCGTTGCGTATGTCAGTAGTCAAGTCCTTGTTATTGCCGCGTTGTATTCCATGGTATGGCTGTATCACAGTCTAACCACTTACTCACTGACAGATATTTGGGTAGTTTCTGGGTTTTTGTTTACTATAGATATTCATACATTCAGGCATACAAGTTTCTGCAAGTTTCTCTAGGATAAATGCCCAAGAATACAGTTGCTCATGGTAAGTCCATTTACCTTCCCACCAGCAGGTATGACTGATCTAGTTTCTCCAAATGCTTGCCACCATTTGGCTTTGTCACTGTTTTTCATTTTAGCTGTTCTGATAGGTATGTAGTGATATCTCTTTGTGGCTTTAATTTGCATTTCTCTGATGGCTCACGATGTTGAGCATCTTTTCATGTGCTTATTTGCCAACTGTATATCCTCTTCGGTGAAATGTCTGTGCTTTCTTTTGTATATTTTCTAATTGGATTCAATGCTTTTTGATGTTTGAGAGTTCATTGCACATTCAAGTCCTGTGTCAGATATGTGATTTGCCAGTATTTTCTCCCAGTCTTTTTTTTTTTTTTTTTTTTTTTCTTCTTCTTCTTTACAGGGTCTTTTACAGAAAAAACATTTTTGATTTTGATGAGGTCCACATTACCATTTTTTTTCCTTTTATGAATCATGTTTTTCGTGTTGTCTAAGACCTCTTTGCCTAGTCCTGGGTCCTGAAGATTTTTTTATATCTTTTTCCTAGAAGTTTTAACCATGATCCATTTTGATTTAATTTTTTTTTTAGTTAACTTTTGTATAAGGTAAGAGGTTTAGTTTGAGGTTCCTTCTTTGCCTGTGGATGTCTCATTTGCTCCAGCACCATTCATTGAAAAGACTATCCCTCCTCCATTGCATTGTTTTTGTTCCTTAAAGGAAAAATTAACTGGGGTGAAATTTTTTTTTTTTTTTTTTCTTTTGTCTTTTTCCGTGTCCAGCAACGGATCGCAACCCTCAGTGTTGCCCCCGTACCGGACCGGGGACCGGCAACGGGATCGCAACCCTCGGCGCTGCCCCCGCGCCTCGCTCAGCCAGTGAGCGGGAACCGGTCTGTATGTGGGATCTGAACCCTCGGGCGGGAGCGCCGCCGCGCTTCCCAAGCGGCGCACTATCCAGTGCGCCACCGGGCCGGCCCAACTGGGGTGAAATTAATTGGGCATATTTGTATGGATTTCTGGGTTCTCTGGTCTGTTTCATCAGTCTGTCTGCATGATCATAGTGAGTCCTCCCAGCAATTCCATGAGGTGGGTAGTTTAATTATTCCCATTTTATGGAGGGGAAGCTGAGGCTCAATGAGGTGAATTTACTTGGCTAAGGTCACTCTGCCAGGAAGCACAGAGTCAGGAACCCAGGACTGTGATTCTGGAGGGTTCACCCTGACCCCAAAGATGTCCTGCCTGCCCAAATGACTCTGAGCTCATCCTCCAAATCAAGGCAACATGCATGGTCCCCTCTGGAACTCCTGCCCATACTAGTACTCAGATGGCTGTGGTTTTGTGTTTCAGGTTCTCTGGCGTTGGCAAGTGGGAAAATATCCCTTTTTCCTGGCACTCCATCTCTTCCCAGCCCACCCATTTCTTCCCAGAGCTGCAGTGGCACTTGCCTCTGCCCTCTGCAGCCCATGTCTTAGCATTTTCTGTCTCCATCAGCAGCAGGGTTCTTAACTCTGCCAGATGTTTCTAGCACACCTCATGCTCAAAACCCCTAAACGCCTTTCACAGTTGGTCAGCAGCCTGTGGTAAATGGCCCCAGAGCAAGTCAGGTCTGCTCTAGTGGCCTTGGCCTCAGCTCCTTTCTCCTTTTTTTTTTCCTTTCTCCTTTTCTTATTGCACGGTTGTCCCATGACATCCTAGAGCCTGTGTGACCCAAGCCAGACATTCTAGCCCAGCCAGGGATATCTGTCCCCCTCAGGACTTCTCTTTCTCCAGCTGTCTTCTCCAGCAGGCCTGCTCCTTGCTGAGTTCATCAAGCTTTTGGGAGCATGAAGGCCCTCATAGGCAAAAGCTGTCTGATAGCCCATATTACAGAAGTGGGATGGCACAGCCATTAAGAGTTCAGAGCCAGGGCCGGCCCGGTGGCGCACTGGAGAGTGCGCCGCTTGAGAGCGCAGCGGCGCTCCTGCCGAGGGTTTGGATCCCATGTGGAGACCGGTTCCCACTCACTGGCTGAGCACAGTGCGGGCGCAACACTGAGGGTTGCGATCCCGTTGCCGGTCCCCGGTACGGGCGCGACACCGAGGGTTGCGAGCCTGTTACCAGTCAGTAAAAAAGTCAAAAAGGGGAAAAAAAAAAAAGAGTTCAGAGCCAAATGTTTATGCCTCATCAGTCATGTAAGTGTAGGCAAGTGACCCGACCTCTCTGCACCTCCATTTGCTCATGTCTGTCTCTGAGCGGTGTTGTGAATATTCAAGGAGGACAACCATAGAGAACACTCAGAGCTGTGCCTGGTACACAGTAAGCGCTCCATAAAGGTCATTACTATCACTGCTGAGTGAATGGCCTGTGCTGGTGGCTGGGAGGCAGAGGCTGGTGGACGCTGTCCCTGTCCTCAGGAGTTGGCTACCTTCGTGTGCAAGATGAACAAACCACCAAACTCAGTACAAAGCGTTAGGACAAAAACATGTGTCAGGCTCAGCAAGCCTACAGGGCTGGACTGAGACCCAAACATTTGTTCATCAGGCCCCCTGGCTGGCTTTTTTTTCTTTTTTTCCATCTGTTTTTCTCTGCCAGCTCCATAAAGAGCAATATATCAGTTAGGAGGCATTTGACTACAAGAGACAGAAAACCTAATTTAAGAAGGCATGAAGCATGAGGGGATTTATCTTCTCCCATAATAAAAAGTCCAGAGATAGGACAGCTCTAGGGGTGGTTAATTCTGCAGCTCAGGATGTCCTCAGGGACTTGGCTCCACCACTGACCCCACAATGACTACCGTGGCCCCAAGTAAAACCAGTGCCCTGCAGAAGAAGAGGGAAGAGTTTCATTTTGTTTATAAGAGTCAAGGAACTGGATCACTTGCCCACCCCGAACCAATCCCTGGCAAGGTCACATTGGACCCCTTAAACTGTCAGGATTTACTCAAGTCATGTGACAGAGGGATGTCCACCAGAGCATAATCAGGGCTCCACCATCAGGGACAAAGGTGGTGACAGCTTATTGGCGTGGCAGCCAACAATGACTCCATCATCTGTCCACCCTTTTACCCAGTCATCCTGTGATTCTCTCATCCATTGTTCCATCAATCAGTGTGGGACATTGACAAAAGAGGATGGAGCCCTCTGCTTGGGTGAGGCTCTTGCCCACATTCACATCTGTCTTGGAACTTTCCTCAGTGGCCAAGAGGGCAGCACAAGCCAGCATCCCAGCAGCCCGACCCTGCTGACCTTAAGGCACCCCTCTGCCCTTGGCCTCCGCAGAGTCCGTACATCCAACTTCTGCCTGGAGATGCCTGAAACTGCAGCTAGTTAGTTTCTCACCAAAACCCAGACCCTTTATTTTTAACGTGATTTCATCTTCCAAGAAAAGATAATCAGTTCTACCAGAATTTGGCAGTGATAGAAATGGCCCCAAATGGGACATATTCAGCATCCTCATGAATGGTCAACATAGGTCAGTCAGTCTGTGTTGGGATCATAAAAAATCTTGTTAGTAAGAGAATTACATGACTGGATAAAGTGCGTGTTGTCTTTGGGGACATTGGCTGTGAGGTGAAACACGATAAAACTGATGGGTCTACCAGTCAGGATTATGTTTTGCTGCATAATGTAGAGCAGGGTGACTCAGACAAGACAGTGTCTTTCTTTCTCCCACACTGTCGGGGACCCAGGCTTATCCTCCGGTCCTTGACCTCTTTCCTCCTGGTCCAAGGTAGCTGTTCAAGCTGCAGCCTTAAGGAGATGAGGAGGCAAAGGTGCCCACAGCAGACGTCTGAGGAGGTTTCCCAGCTACAAGTCACATATCAGACTTTCACTTTTATCTCATTGGCCAGAACTGCAAGGGGACCTGGGAAACGTAGTCTGTGGACCGACCACGTTGCTGCCCCAGTACAGCGGGAATCCTGTTACTAAGGAGGAGGAAGAGCATAGATATTGGAGAAGCAGCCTGCAGCGTCTGCCACTCATACTTCCCACTTTCCTCTGGCTGATCCCAGCCACTGCCCACGTTTTCCTTTAGTAGTCAGGATTTGATACCGACTTTATGGGAAATCTGAATAAACACATCAACACTTCAGTCTCCAGCTGTGGCAGAGCCACATTTTACCAGGTGTGAAGTTGGCCATAAGGTGAAGATTGCTTCTAGTTGGTTGCCTTTGTAAAATCCCTTAAGTTGCCAAAAACTGGGACCTTGGACATTAAGAAAAGTAAGAGTTGATATTTTGTGCTTCCTGTGTTTCGATTCTGTCTTCCTTTCCTGGAGGTGGTAGAGGTCAAGGTTTGGTTGAGGAAAGAAAAGATAAAATGTCTTTTCTTGGCAGGTGAGTAGAGTTGAGTTTTTGGAAAGTCCGGTGCCGCTCCCAAGCACCCCTTTGCTGTGCTGGAGATGTTGAAGCCTAGGGCTTTAGAGCTTGGTCTTTGTTGAGGTAGCCTTGGCTTTGAGCTGATAAGTGACCCTGGAGAAGTCAGTGAACTCCTCTATTGGGTATTGACGGTTGCAGCTTATCACCTCTCATCCCTGCCAGCTACTCCCAGGTTGAAAGTATGGGTGTAAGGAACCAAACGAGGAATCACAATCTCAGCATTATTAATAGAGGCTCAGTAACTCCCCCAAAGTACAGGGCCTATGTCAGTGAGGTGCTTCTGGCTAAAGTAACCAAAAGTTGGCTGGCTCAAACATTGTAGGAATTTGTTATCCTGCAGAAAAGGAAGCTCAGAGGCAAGGCCACTCCAGGGAGGGTTAATCCAACTTCTCCAAGGGCTAAGTTCTTTCTGCCTTCTCCCATCTTTAGTGTTGGCCTCATCCTCAGACTGGTAGCAAGAGGGCAGTAGCAACTTGTGGTGTTATATCTGGACCCAGCAACATATGGAGGAAAAAGAGAGGCCGTCTTTTCTTGACATCTCTCTTAGGAGCAAGGAGACTTTTCCCAGAAGCCCCCAAACAGACTTCTCTCTTTTCAATCAGGTTATGCTGGGTAGCAAACACCGGAAGATCTCTGTGACTTAAATCAACAAAGGTTTATTTCTCATCTACTCTGCAGTTCCACTGCTGGTAGGAAGGTGACCTCTCAGAATCCAGGCTGTCCGGGCCGGCCCGGTGGCGCACTGGAGAGTGCGCCACTTGGGAGCGTGGCGGCGCTCCCGCCGCGGGTTCGGATCCCATGTGGAGACCGGTTCCCGCTCACTGGCTGAGCGTGGTGCAGGTGCAACACCGAGGGTTGCGATCCCGTGCCAGTCCCCGGTACGGGCGCGACACTGAGGGTTGCGATCCCGTTACCGGTCAGTAAAAAAGACAAAAAGGAAAAAAAAAAAAAAGAATCCAGGCTGCCCAAGCAGTCACCATCTCCAGGTCACATCCCCTCACATCTCATTTCCCAAAATTGTGTCAAATGCCTGTCCCTGAACCAACCCCAGCCAGAAAAAAGAGGTTCTACCATGACTGGCTCTGATCTGAGATGGAATGGGCATTGGGAGGTGTCCACAAGAATCACCCCATGGTATAGAGAATGCCACCGGGACGTGAGGCCACAGGGAGAACCTTCTGCCACTGCCTCCCTTAAATCCTGGCCCTTAACTGTGGCCATGTGGAGCCGGCCTCCAGGAGGATCTCTGTCTAGTGGATAACTTTCTTATTTCATCTCCTCCACAACTCTGTGAGGCAGAAAAAGTTACCTTATTTTTCAAATGAAAAAACTACAGCTCACATTGATGGGCATTTGCCTGACCAAGGTCATACGGCTAGTGAGGCGTGGAACTAGCGTGTGAGCTCAGATTTGCCTTGTTTTGAAGCCTGAGCCCCCAACTTCTTCCCTGCAGTGCCTTCCTCCAACAGCACAGGGGAACACACAGTTCTAGCCCGTCAGCCAATTGTTGCAACTCACCATGTGTCACGTGTCAGCCCCAGGCTAGGCACTAGGCACAATGGGGCCTACTGTAATTGCCTCTTGACAACTAAGGGAACTGAGGCTTGGGGCTAGGAAATGACTGTACCTGGCTGGGCAAGAGGCAGTGGTGAGATTTGAAACCCAACCTACCCAGCCCTAGGCCTTCTGTCCCTATAAATGCTCCTTGCCCTTTTCTCCTCCATCAGAGGGAAAGGGAGCCTGAGATAGGCCTGGGGCAGTAGCTGTGACAATAGTTCACCCCATTTTACAGCCAAGAAACAGGACCCCTGAGGAGACTAAGGGTAGGGCAGTTGGTGCAAGTGGTTTCTGCCCCCTCCTTCCTTAAGGAACCTGCCTTGCCCTGCGCTCCCTGCCACCACCAACTCCCTGGCAGTCTTCCCAGGCAACACTCTCATTCCTGACCCTCAGTTAATAGCACGTTTCCAGGCTTACTCATCCAGCTTTGTCAACAGCTTTCTCTCCCCAATGCACAGTGGAGCCTCCCGTGTCTTTAAAACCCACTGGCAAGCCAGTCTGAGGCTCAGGTGGTTTAGGATACACCGGTCCTTCACCCTGCGCTCGTCTCCTCTCGCTCCCCTGCAGGTATGCAGCCGCTCCGCACCCACTGCTATCTTTTGATCCCCACTTCAGCCACGATGGGACGTCCAGCGGCGACTCCTCCTCAGGCGGCCTGACCAGCCAGGAGAGCACCATGGAGCGCCAGAAGCCAGGTAGGGCCTCCATGGGCCAGCTGCACCCACCTGCCTCACCCAACAGGACCTCTTACTTACAGTCTGACAGATGACACTCCCTCTCCTGTCAGCGATGGATAAAACACAAAAGAAAGCTGTGAGAGCCACATGCAAGATTAGAGAGGTCACCCAGGGGAACAGTGGGAACTTGCGAACAAGATCCTTATCCACCCAGACAGGGCATCAGCAGATGGCATCTGCTACAGTGGTAAGTCAGGAGCAGGAGTACAGCTGTGTGACCGGGAGGTGGTAGCCACCAGGGAAGAGCTGGAAAGGATTGAAAAGTGGTGCTCCGAGGGGGTGGAACCAACTGTGTTCTATGGTTTTTCATCATTTAAGCCCTCCCAGGTTGTTATCCGAGTTTTATGGACATACAACACATGTTGACAAAAGAGCCCAAATCACCCCATCCCTGCTTCTATTTTTTCTTTTTTTTCTGGCTGGCTGGTAGGGAATTTCTTCTCTCTCTCTGCCTCCACAGCAGCTGGCCATGGGGATTCGAACCCTTGACCTTGTTGTTATCAGCACTGCACTCTAACCAACTGAGCCAACTGGCTAGCCTTTTCTGCTTCTTGTAGCCTAACTTAGTTTTGCCTGGGTTCGAATTTTTTAGAATATAGAATCACACTGTCTATGCTCATATTGTGTGTGTGTGTGTGTGGAACTGGCTCCTGTGGTTCAATATCATGTTCATGAGAGTTAGCCTCGTGATTGTATGTGGCGATGCAGTTTCTGACTGGTGTTCCATTGCACGAATGAACCGCGGTTTATTGCTCCATCCTAGTGCTGATGACATTTGGGTCGTTTCCCAGTTGGGGCTGCTTAGAGTAATGTCGTTGGGAACATTCTTGTGCTAGTCTTTTGATGAACATATGCTCACATTTCTATAGAGAATACACCCAGAAGTGGAATTACTTGGTCTTATGTTTAACTGTATAAGAAACTGCCAAATCATCTTCCAAAGCGAGGAACTGTTTTACACTCCCACTGACGTATGAGAGTTCTAGTTGCTCCACGTCCTCACTAACCTTTCCACTTCAGCCATTCTACTGGTATCACATTGTGTTTTTAATTTGCATTTTTCTGATACTGATGAAATCGAGCATCTCCTCATGTTTAGTCTCCTGTACATAATTATTAATCATGTTTGTGTACTGCTTAGATGAATATTTTAATCATAATTTCACAGAGCAAACGTGTAGTCCCTTTCAGGTCTGAGAAGCACCAGGTGAATGGGTGCCGTGCATTCAAATGGCAGAAAACAAATGAAGTATTAGAGAGCACTAACATTGCAGGGGGAAGAGATGGAGATGGCTCTCAGGAGATGCTGGAAAGTTTCAGGGCAACTGGGAGGCGTGACCCCATGGGACATCACCATCTCCCCCAGGAACTGTGCGGTAGAGAAGAGGTTGCATGCCCCCGGATTAGTGGCCTGGAGAATTCCTCAGCACCCTCACCAGTGGTTCTGTTCAGTCAAGGGTAATGATTCAACTTCGGGCTAGCAGGTTAGACTCCTGACGTCTGCTGCCTCCAGGGCCTGCAGACATGGCTTGTTCCTCTCCTCGGTCCACTTGGAATCATCTCCTGCCTGGTACTGCCTGCAATTCTGTGATTTTTGCTCCAAAACAGACAGATTTGGATCTTTTTTTTCTTTTTACCTTACCCAGTTCAGAAAAAGATAAAAGTGTTGCTGGCTATTTCATTACACGAAAGTGTAAAATAGAAAAGTTTTCTAGGATTTACTATGGGCCCCAGATAAGGTGTCACTGAAACTCACTGCTGTCCTTCCCTTCTCCTCTCTTCTGTCATCTTGGGGTTTGTTCCCCTCTTGGAGCCTTGTTATAGGTTGGCTAAGCCCTCCCCTGCCATGCACACACATGAACACACAGATCAGGCAATCTGTGTTTAGAAATCATCATGAAGTCTAGAATGTATTCAAGACCCAGAAGAAAGGTAGTCCAGTCAGGCGGCAAGGGACGATGAGGATCAGGCAGCACAGCAGACATGCGGTTTGCCCAACCCTGATTGGATGAACAGTCATCATAACAGCAACATGGTTCTGTGTGCTTGTGATATGCCCAGCATTGTACTAGCTACTCCACATGCCTTCCTATTTAGTCATCTTGGGAGTGTGACAGAGAGGGCACTGTGACTGCCCCATTGTAGAGGTAAGGAAGATGAGGCACAAAAAGGTTGTCACTTGTATAGGGTCGCTGCTGGTGAGTGGCATAATTGAGATTTGAACCGAGGCCTGTTGGGTTCCAGAACCCCTTCTTAGCCCCCACAGACACCACCCACAATCTCTCACCCACAGCATGTAAGCATGTTCCAGGCCTCCAAGCACCCAGAATGAGAAGGAGTCTCCAGGGCACCAGCTGTCCCTAGTTCCTGCCTGGCCAGGATTTCAGCATGTCTATAGCATTTAACCTGCCCAGCATGTCGAGGGTAGGGCAGGAGGACCAGAAGTTCACTGGGGACTGATCCAGAACCAGTGAAGTGCCCAAACTCAGAATCAGGGCCTGCTAAAGGCAGAACCAGGGGCAAGGGGATACTGGGGCAACCAGGATAGGAAGCAACTGGCCGCTCATGCATCCATTCATTGAGCATGTTGCATACCAGGCCAGGCACATTTCCTGCCTTCTTGGAGCTGACAGTCTGGTGGAGAGATGAACAAAAAATAGGGGCATATGAAGGTAAATAATAACCAGTAATGCGGGCCGGCCCGGTGGCGCACTTGGTAGAGTGCAGCGCTTGGGAGCGTGGCGGCACTCCCGCCGACGGTTTGGGTCCCATATAGAGACCGGTTCCCGCTCACTGGTTGAGCACAGTGCGGGTGCGACACCGAGGGTTGCGATCCCGTTGCCAGTCCCCGGTACGGGCGCGACACTGAGGGTTGCGATCCCGTTACCAGTCACGAAAAAAGACAAAAAGGAAAAAAAAAAATAACCAGTAATGCAGAGAATAAAGTGGAAACTAACACAGTGCTGAGAGAGATTGACTGGACTTAGGAGAATCTCTGAGCAAATCATATTTCAGGCAAGGCTGGAAGAATGCAAGGAAGTCAGCTGGTGGAGAACATTCTAGGGAAAGGGAAGAGCTCATCAAAGACCGTGAGGTAGCAGTCAGTCTGGTGTGTCAGGAACAATGAGGAGGCCCATGTGGCCAGAGAAGTGCTGGGTGATGAGGTCAAGAAAGTGCAGGGACAGAGCATATGGGGCCTATGGCCATGCTGAGGCCTTTGTCCTTTACTCAGAGTGGACAGGAGCTGCAGGGTTCAGTCTTCTGAGCACTGGAGGGATGGGATCTGACTTGGATGTTCACAGAGTTCCTCTGGCTACAGATTCTTGTGGGGTGGGCTGGGAGCAGGACCGAGGTGGGGACAGAGGAGGGGGAGAGATGGGCAGTTCTGGATGTGGTATTTTGAAGGCAGAATTGACTGAATTTCCTGATGCCCAGATGCGGGTGTGAGATAGAGGAGCCAAAGATGAAATAGGGGTTTGGGCCTACCTGAGTGGCCAAAAGGATGGAACGGCCATTGACTAAACAGGAAAGACTGTGAGAGATGCAGGCTTAGGGGAAGATAAGGGGTTCGGCTTTGGCTGTATTCAGTGGCAGGTGCCCAATAGATACCCAACTGGAGGTGCTATGAGGTGGCTGAGTCTGAGTCAGAGGAAAGGTCTAAGCCAGAGGCAGCAGTGTGGTTTTCTGTAGAAATGTGGTTTCCCAGAGTGGTCTGGCCATGTCCCAGGGTATAGCACCTCCTGGGTACACAAGATGCTCCAAAGAGGAAAACTATTTACAGGGGCAGAGGAGGTGAATAAAGAGGCCAGCCTCCCGGCTTTCTCATATCCATGGTTTCCAAGCGAAAGCCACATGGACATTGGCACCCTCAACTGAGTCCAGACTGCATCCAGCCAGGCTGTCCTCTGAAGTGGCCCTGAATTCCCTGCCCAGCCTCCCAGGCCCACCTTCCCCAGCAGGAACATGGGCCCAAGAGCGCCCCAGGGTTGCACTGGAGGCAGCGGTGTTGTGGTTGTGAATTCAAGCTCCCACAGGTCCATGGGAAGTTCTGAGTTGGCAATGTGCTTGGCCTGTGACCTCAGCGATGACCTCATCCCTCTTGTCCTCAGGTCCCTCCTCTGCAGAGGCCATCCTAAGTGTCTCTCCTTCCAGGACAGTTTGGGGGTCCAGTGAGATCATGCCTGCCTAGCCCTCAACACAGGACAGCCCATCATTAGGAGAATAAGGACCCCTGCTTATAACACATGTACTGGCAATCGCTGCCAGTGTTGTCACTGTTGGGCAAGCCCAGGAAGTATGCAGGGCTTGAGAGCACAGGCTCTGAAGCCACATGCACCTGAGCTCCACTTCCTGCATGTCCCTTTTTGACTGTGTGACCTTGGACCAGATACTTAACCTCTCTGAGTCTTGATGTCCTCCATCTATTGAAGATGGTGCTAATGCTCACCTCATGGTAGTGTTGGAAGGATACAGCAAGGTAATTCCTGTGAAGAACTTGAAGTAGTACCTGACACAGAACATATGCTTAAAATTATTATCATTATTATATTTATTTCTCATACTGTAGTGAGTAAAAATGTGGGCTTTAGGATTAGACCACCTGGGTTCAGATTCTCAGTGCATTTATAATTTTTTTTTTTCCTTTTTGTCTTTTGTCATGACCGGTAACAGGATCGCAACCCTCAGTGTCGCGCCGGTCCCGGAAACGGGGTCGCAACCCTCGGTGTCACACCCGCACCACGCTCAACCAGTGAGCGGACCGGTCTCTATATGGGATCCGAACCCTCTGTGGGAGCGCTGCAGCGCTCCCAAGTGCTGCACTCTACCGAGTACGCCACCGGGCCGGCCCAGTGCATTTATAATTTTGATAAACATTAACTAAATGCCATTCACTGGGATTAGCCAGTTTTTTGAAGGTTAGTTAGATGCTCAGTTCAGGCACATTGACTAGCTGTGGAAGTTTAGGCCACCTAACACCCACAGCCACCATCACAGTTTTAAGCCTGCTTTACCTTTGAACCAGCACTTTCTCTTGTAGAACTCTGTCCCAGATACAATCCTACACTTGCTCAAAGTTGCATGTAGAAGGAAGGCCACCGCAACATTTTTGTAAGATAAAATTGAAGATAACCTAAATAGCCATCAGTGGGAAACTGGTTAATAATAGACGTACATTAACTTGATGGAATACTGTGTAGCTATTAAAAATGAGGTTACTTCATGTTCAGTTATGTGAAGATGTGTTGGGAAGACAAGTGAAAAGCAAATGTAGAGAGATATATATTCCATTTTTGTTCTTTTAAAAAAGTTATGTACATTTAATCAGCAAAGGATTGTTACCTTGCACATATGAAGAACTCCACTAACCAATAAGATAAAAAAGACAGTTCCATAGAAAAATGGGTAAAGGAGGTGAAGAAGTAACTGACAGAAGAGAAAATCCAAATGGCCAGTAAGTATGAAAATGTGCTCATCCTCATTTGGGGATGAGGATGGAGGACTGTTGTGTGTCTCAATGAGTTAACCCACGTAAGGCTCTTAAAGTAGTGCTGGGAACATAGTAAGTGCTCAGTAAATACTCCTTGTTATTGAGTATTGTTATACCCCTAGGCATAAATTGATGGGGGTCATGCCCTGGGGGATTAGACAGGCTGGCAGAGGGGTGGGACTGTCCAACCATATTTAGGGCCAGATTCTTCAGGCCCTGGCCTGAGTCACTGCTAACCACTGGTATGTCCCCTGTTTTCCTGCAGAGCCTTTGTGGCATGTGCCTGCCCAGGCCAGGTTCTCAGCCATGACCGGAAGCAGCGGGAGCAAGCACGCCTCCAGGCAGGATGCAACAGGCAAAGATTCACCCAACAGGCATTCCAAGGTGAGTCTGGGCCCCACCTTGCCCCACCTGGGGAGCCAGGCCTGCAGGAGCTGGCAGCTTCGGCTTCGCCTAGGCGCCTGACTGCTGTGGGCTGGGCAGCCTTGCCTGGGTGTGGCCTCTGAACACCACACAGGAACACATCCTCCACCTTTGCAATCTTTCACTTAGCAGAGGGGCTAAATACTTGGTCTGGAGTTAGAAACAGCCAGGTTCTCATCCTGGTTCTACCCCCACCAATTGAGTCATTGTGAGCAAATCCCTTCACCTCCTCAAGCCTCAGTTTCCTCATTAGCACATCAGTCATGATAGATTAACTGCTGTGACAGCCCCAGAATCTCAGTGACCTCATGCAATAGAAGTTTATTTCCCTGTCATATAACAATGCAGTGCAGGCATCCAGTGAGCAGCTTTCTACATGATGATTCAGGAGCCTGGGCTCTCTCCATCTTGTGGTTCTGCGGTCCCTCAGGACCTCTCAGCCCTCAGCTGGGTTCCTGTTTCTTTCCAGTAGTGGGGTTGGAAGGTTCTTTAGCTCAGGCCTGGAAATGGTATGAATCACTTCCACTCACATTGAGTTGGCCAGGACTCCATCATGTGGGCACACCTAACTGCAAGGGAGGCTGAGAAGTGTATTCCTGCATGTCCAGGAGAAGGAGGTAGTTTTGGTGAGCACTTGGCAGTCTCTGTGCATCCATTTATTCAGTAGGTGATGGATGGGCATTTATAACATGCCGGGCATTGGGGTCACAGTGATGAAGAGGACAGACGAGCTCCTGTCCTCAGGGAGCTGACATCCCATTGAGGGAACACACAGTAAGCAGATGATAAACAGATGCATAAATAACACTAAGAACTGATCCTTGCTGTGAAAGAAAAACAAAGCACAGTTAAGGAAAAAGAGAGTGGCAAGCACTGCTGCTTTAGGATGACGTGGTCAGAGAAAGCCTTTGAGGAGGTGACTTTTAGGCCAAAACCTTGAATGAAGTAAGGGGCGATCTATAAAGATATCTGAGGGAAGAGCATTGCAGGCAGAGAGAACAGCCAGTGCCAAGGGCCTGAGGTGGGAGTGTGCCTGGCATACTCAAAGAACAGTGAGGAGGCCCATGTGGCTGGAGCAGAGTGATCGGGAGGGAGGGGAGAGATGAAGTTAGAGACCAGAACATGGGACCAGATCATGCAGGCCTTGTGGGCTGAGGTGAGGACTCTGGCTTTTCTCCAGAGTGAAACGGAGCCACAAAAGAGTTCTGAGCAAAGGAGGGATGTGATCTAACACAGGTGTGCACAGCCTCCCTCTGGCAACACGTGGGGAACAAAGTGGGAGGGGGAAGGGAAGAGGAGACCAGGGAGGAGGCTGCTGTGATGGTCCAGCAGGAGGCAGCAGTGAGCAGGACCAGGGTGGAGCCATGGTGGAAGGAGAAGGGCAGGTCCTGGATCTGCTCTGAAGATGCAAGCAGCAGGCTTTGCTGTTGGACTAGACATGAGTGTGAGAGCAGAAGCAGGGTCCAGGGCCAGTCCAAGGCTCTTGGGCAGCTGGAAGAGTGGTAGTACCATTATTGAGGCGGGGAGGAGGCAGTTTGGGAGGGAAGGCACGGAGCTCAGTTTTAGACAGGTTGAGTTTGAGAAGTGGGAAGCATATTATATGTATAATGTCATTTGTTCCTCTGAGCAACCCCATGCTGCCCTCTCCCCATTTTACGGATATGGAAACTGAGGCAGAGAGAAGGTAAATCACTTGTCCAAGGTAACACAGCCAGTAAGTGGGGAGCCAGGATTCAAAGTATCTGGCTCCAGGGTTCACACTCAGGGGGAGGGAGGATCCCAGAAGGGAAGATTTGCCCCCCTAGAGTCTAGGACTGACATTTCTCTTGCCTTCCAGGGAGAACCTCAATACTCGAGTCATTCCAGCAGCAATACCCTCTCCAGCAATGCGTCCAGTAGCCACAGTGATGATCGCTGGTTCGACCCCCTGGACCCCCTGGAGCCGGATCAAGACCCCCTCTCCAAGGGCGGTTCCAGTGACAGTGGCATTGACACCACCCTCTACACTTCCAGTCCCACCTGCATGCCCCTGGCCAAGGCACCTAGGCCCACCAAGCTTCACAAGCCACCAGGAAATATGGGCCTCTGTGGTGGGGGGCGTGATGCTGCTGGGAGGTCCCACCATACAGACAGGCGGCGGGAGGTATCACCCGCCCCTGTGGTTGCTGGCCAGGGCAAGAACTATCGACCGAAACTGTACTCCTCAGGCTCCAGCACCCCTACAGGCCTGGCCGGGGGCAGCCGGGACCCACCGAGGCAGCCCAGGTAAGAACTGCACCTCATCCAGGTCCTTAAAGGGGTCCTGACCACCTTCTGCTCCCCCCCCAGTCCTGGTGATAGGGTTTTCCTCCCCAAAACCATGCTGACAGATGGGCATGCTTGTACACTAGTTTGCTTACAGAATTGGGAGGCTTGTGGACCACCCCCTGCTGCCCGTCCATCAGCCTTCAGGGCCCAGGTAGAAGGAGGAAAACCCCTGCTTGTTTCTCTTGTCCATGCTTGTCTCTGATTCCCTCTTTCCCTCTCTCTGCTGAGACCAGTGGTTTTTATACCTTCTGGACATAACAGACTGTATCTGTTAGGAGTACCTTTGGCTGGAGGTAATAGGAAAGCTGGCCCACAGTGGCCTAAACAAATAGAACTTTAACAGTCCCCTGATGTGAAGTCCATACCTGTCTGGACCAAGAGCTGGGCAGATGGCAGCTGCTCAGGGCAGGCCTCGAGGACTGGCACTCTGTGTCTTTTTGCTCCGTCATCCTTACCACGTGGACTGTGTCTCCTTGGTCTCAAGATGGCTGTGGTGCCCAGGGGATGATGGTGGAGGGGCAGAGTACAGAGGGAAAGGCTGCAGCATCTATGCGGATCCCTGTTTCTATGGAGAAAGCAAACACTTTTCCAGAACCCCCTTCAGCAGGTGGTGTCATTCCAGCTACAAGGAAATCCAGGAGATCAAGATTTGGCCATCCAGGCTCTATAGTATAGGACGGTGGTCCCCCAAACAATCCCCTGGAGGGCTTGGTCAACCTAATTGCTGGGCTTCATTTCTGATTCAGTAGGTCAGGGTGGAGACTGAGAATATGCTTTTATTTTTCAGCTGTTGGCTGGTATAGGAATCAAACCCTAGACTTCGATGTTATCAACACCGTGCTTTAACCAACTGAGCTAATGAGCCAGCCTGAGAGTATGAATTTTTAAAAAGTTCCCAGTAGATGCTGATGCTGCTGGTCCCAGGACCACACTTTGAGAACCTCCGGGAGAGAGGCAGGGGGTGGTGTGAGTCTGCTGCGTGGAAAAGGAACCAGAACACCCAGTTGAGAATTTAAAAGGGGGTTTTTATTGACCGGCCGGCGACTGCCTCTCCAAGAAAGTCTCAGAAGAGAACAGCCCTGACTTGAAGTTTAGGGGGTTTTTTAAAAGGCACATTTTTACATTAGTCACACAGTTAAAATTTTCAAATAGTCACACACTTACAGTTATCATATAGTCACACAGACACACATACCCTCCTGGAGTGAGGAAGGGGTTTGGGGAGGCCTAGCGCAAGCCAATAACAGAAGCTGAAAGAAGCCAGTTAATCGCTCAGGGGCAGCTTGGGTGGGGAACAACAAACAAAATTCAAACTTCTCTAAGTGTAGGCTAATATTTAGCTTTTAACTTCTATCAAGGGGGCTGAAGAGCTGAGGGGGATTTTCAAACAACAACATTTTCTAAGCAATTCAAACACTATTTAAACTTAATCAATCTGCCTTGTCACACAGCAAGCAGTTTCACAGAAGCAAATTGTGCATATGTTATGAAAGTGGGGGTCACCCTATCTCAGTGGGAGAGTAAGCAAGAAAGGAAAGGCACTGACCAGCCAACAACCTAGAGTCTAGACCACATGCACAATGAGATTCTGATGAAAGTGATGAACCATCTCCCAGGAGAATGCCCAGGGGTGGAAGGATGGCTCTGCAAAGTCACAGGACTTGCCTCCTCCAGGGAACCCCCTTAGAGTTCTTGGCCCTAGGCTAGGATTACTGAGCTGCAGTCCCAGTGCTGACTCCTGAGGCCACAGCCTCACCTCCCTTCCCTGACCACACCTCACCAGGGGCCAGCCTATATCTGGGACTCCCATTGGGGGCTGAAGGCTTCTTGGCAGAGGGGGTCTTCATCTCCTCTGGCTTCTTAATGCCCTTGCCAGTCCTCAGACCCACAGCCTCTCTCCACTCAGGCAGCGGCCTCAGACCTCCTTGACCACAACTCACAGTAGAATTGTGTCTTTGTCTACACAGAAGTATCTACATAAAAAAGGTGAAGCCATGGTTTCTAAAACATTACTTAGCTTTACCGTGTAGACACGCTTTGATCTTGTCTGGTCTGTCTAAAAATGTTAAGTGCTGACCAATTCCTTCTTAAATGATTTCATGACTTACCGGTGGTTCTCTGACAGATCTGAAAGCACCGTATTTGAGAGTGGCTGTAGTGCCAGCGCTTCCCCTGCGCACCACGATCCAAGGACCTCCTTGAGTCAAGGAGCCAGGAGAGGGACAGGGTGGAGAGAGAGAGAGACTATCAGAGTGCTTCAGTCCACCTCCCTAGACATGTAGTTCTTAATCTTTTGAACTCAGGGACTCTTTTGAACAGCCCTTTCATTCATTTATTTATTTATTCATTCATTCGTTTCACTCATAAATACTTCTTGGAAAATTTTTTTTTCTGTCCTAAACACTGAGCCGGGAGCTAAGGAGGAATAATGAGCACGTGCCAGCAAGCCCCCCAGCCCTCACCACAGCCCACCATCAAGTGGGGGGGACATGAGAATCAGATCATCGCTGAGACGTATGTAAAACTGCCCGCTACGGCTGAGAGGAACGTGGGGCCAAGAGAGTCTACAACGGAGGTCGAAGGTCTCAGTTGTGGTAGCCCCTGTTCTAGGCACAAGCCTGTGCTAGTGAACCTGAATAACTACGGAGTTTTGAAATCCATGATGTAAAGGCAGCAGTGCTAGGAGTTGATCAGGGCTGAGACAGAGAGTGGGTATAAAATTACCCAGTATCTGAGAGAAAGATTTGCTGAACCCAGGAATGAAGGGAATAAAATGGGAGGAGAGCCCGCTACAAAGAGGGCCCTGCGGTTGGGAGGTTTAATTTGCATACAGACAATTGATGCTAATTGCAAATCATTCTTATCTACTCATTAAAGCTGCTTCCTGAAGTTTTCTCCTAGGCAACCAGGCTTTAGTGTGGAACAGCATTTCCCAAAATGGGTGTTTGAGGTGATTTGGGTGGTACAGAGAGGAAAATGGTTTATTTTAGAAGGATATATGTTTGTTTTAATGAAGATCAGGAAAAAGTGTTTTCAACTGGTTTTACAGGGACAAGTTAAGCCCTACTGGCTCTATTGTGGAGTTTGGATTTAATGCTAAGAGCAGTGGACAGCAAGGAAAGGTTTCGAGAGAGAGGGTAATACAGGCAGATTTGTGTTTTGAAAGCTGGTGCTGGGGCGACGTCTCCAGGACGGGGCTGAGGTCGAGATCTAAGTGAGAAGGATGTGAGCTTGGACCAAGGACAGAGTAGCTGTGGCTATGTCAGCAGGTGGCACTGCTGGGATGTAAGGAGGGAGGAGACGCAGGTCAGGACAGAGCCAGTGAGCTGTGCGAGACCAGGAAGATGCCGATGTCAGGAGGCTGCTGCAGGCTGGGAGCACTTGAATCCTTGTGAGAAGAGGAGGGCGGGGCTGGACAGCCCAGAGAAACATTATTCTGTTGTTTTGGCAGCTGGCTTGTACAGGGATTCGAATCCTTGACCTTGGTGTTGTAACACTGTGCTCTAACCAGCTGAGTAACCAGCCAGCCCAGGAATGTTATTCTTACGTGCACTGGCTGCTACAGTGCCCACTACGTGTCAGGCATTGTTCCAAACACCGCGATACAGCAGGAACAAGTAGAGTCCCCCTTCCCTTGTGGAGCTGACATTCTTCTGGAGAGACAGCGAGACAGACAGACAATGGCGCAACCATGTAATATGCCAGTTGGCAATAAGTGCTGGGGAGAAAAACTGGACAGAACAGAGCGGGAGTGCCAGAATGCCTCTTGGAGAAGGTGACTTGTAGGAAGCAAGGAGTAATCCCGACAATAGAAACAGCAAATGCTAAGACCCTCAGGGTGAACTCATTTGTGGTGTCCAGAGATGGTCAGGTGGCCAAAGGGGGTGAAGCAGGGGACAAAGGGGAGAGTGACAGGAGGGCAGATTGGCAACGTGGACCGGAGCCCAGTTCTGGCAGGCCTATTGACCAGGGTCAAATGCTGGGATTTGATTCTGAGGGACATGGGAGGTATCTGAGCAGACAATCTGACAAAGGTTTTTAGAAAGATCACTGGGGGGAAGTGGACTATAGCAGGGGAGGGGGAAGATGGAAGGAAAAATTCAAAGGCTGCCAGGAAAGGGATGGGCCCTACCATGCCCAAGCAGGGAACCCCCACCCACTCCCTTCCCTGGGCTCCAGCCCTTGCCCTGGAAGCCGCTACAGCCTGCAGCAGCTTGTGCCCATTGATGACTTCAATGACTTCACAGACACTCCCCCTAGACATTCGTCATGGGATCCTGGCTGCCAGGCACACTGCCAGGCGCCAGTGCTTGCTGTGGGCACCATGGTGGACTGAGTGATGCCAGGCGGGCAGCCACCTGGCCCCCCGCCCTCTCCTGAGGCAGTGCACACTCCAGAGCTTCTTGGGTTTCCAGAGCAATTTGTCAGAGCTGTTTAGGGGCAGTCAGAGGCTCTCTGCTCCACGTGGAGCTGACGCAGCCGGGCGTTCCCACGCAGGCAGGAAGCACATGGCCTTGCCTCCCTGGGCTGCGCCAGGAGTCTCCAGGACACCCTTCTAGAGCACAGCCCTGAAAGGTAATCTGGGGGCCTTGGGATCTGCTGGGGCCTACCCTGCCTGTGTTAGGAGGCTGGGCTCGCACATGACAGAGACCTACTCGGAAAGTCACAGTAGCTTGGGAAGAGGAACCTAGGCTGTCTCCTAAATCTCAAGGAATGAGGGAGCCATGCAGAGATCTGTGGGGGAAGGGAGCAGTGCAAAGGTCCTGAGGTAGAAACATTTCTGGTGTGTTTGAGGACTACCTTCCACATGGCTGGAGCAGAGAGAGAGTAGAGAATCTGAGGGCCGAGAGGAGATGGGATTGGGTGCTGGCTGTGCAGGCACCTTTCCTTTTTCTCCATATAGGCTTCCCCAAGGTCAAGGTTTGGATCCCGATACCGGCCAGCTGGGGAGAAAAAGAAAGTACAGCGATGTAGGCTTCTGTATCGTTGCAATTCTCTACAGCAGTAATATGTTTGTGTCTGGCTCATGTAAATGAACTTTTTTGATTCCCAAGAGTAAATTTCAATGGATCCATTTGCCAAATGTGGGACGGATTTGATTTTTTCTTGCTTTCGTTTTTACTTTGCAGTGACATGGGCTCGCGGGCTGGCTACCCTGCTCAGGTTTACAAGACTGCCAGCACAGAGACTCCTCGGCCCTCACAGCTAACCCAGTCCAGCCCCTTCCAGCTCTCTGCCTCCGTCCCCAAGTCCTTCTTCTCCAAGCAGCCTGTGCGCAATAAGCATCCAACAGGGTGGAAGAGGACAGATGAGCCCCCGCCACGACCACTGCCCTTCACTGACCCAAAGAAGTAAGTGCCTGGATGCCCAGTGAGGTGCCCACCAGACTCAAGCCAGACATCTCTGGGCAGGAAGAGGGTGATGCCTCTGTGGCTCATTGAAAAGATGACTGTGTGCCAGTCTCCACACAGGGGATACAGCTGTGAACAAAACAGACAAAGATCCCCGCTCTCAGGGAGCTGTCATTCCAGTTGTTGAGGTGACAGACAATACATAGGGTAAATAAGAAAAGCATGTGGTACATTAGATGGTGCATGGCACTGTGTGGTACCTGGGCAAAGAATGTTCCAGGCAGAGGGAATAGCAGTGGCAAAGACCCTGAGGCAGAGGCGTGCGTGGCATGTGAGAGAAAGGCCAATGTGGCCAGAACAGTGTGAGCAAGGGGGAGGGTGGTGGGACATGAGGTCAGAGAGGTGATGGAGACAGATCGTGGAGGGTCTTGTGAGCCATGTAAGGGCTTTGGTATCTGTTCTAAGTGAAGCGGAGCCACAGGAAGGTGTGGAGCAGAGGAGGGACACAACCTAAATTGGGCATTCACAGGGTCACTGTGGCTATGTGCGGGGAACAGTCTGCAAGGAGCAGGGAGGAGCTGCTGCCATGGTCCAGGCGGGAGATGAGGGGCTGGTAGAGGGTGGTCAGCATAGAGAGTGAGAAGGGGACAGATTGGTGAAAGATGATCTGAAATGGGAGCAGACAGGGCTGCTGGCAAGGTGGATGTGTTGTGAGAGAAAGAAGTTGAAGATGCCACCACATCTTGAAGCCTGAGAATAGGTGTGCCTTGCTGAGCTGGGCCCGGGTGAGGAGCAGCCTTGGGGGGAAGCTTTGGAGCTCCATTCTGGATGTGCTGCATTTGAGATGCCCTTAAGACCTCCAGGCAGACATGGAGGAGGCTGCTGGATGAGAAGCCTGGAGTTACTGGAGAGGTCAGACCGGAGAGAGAAATTTGGATGTTGTCAGCATAAGGCCATGAGGCTGGGGGTGTGGACAGAGAGGAGGAGAGGTTTAGGGCCAAGCCTGAGACCCCTCAGTGTTTAGTGAACAAGAGGAAGAGCCAGCAAAGGAGGCTGACCAGGTGCAGCCAGGGAGCAGGAGGAGCCCGGCAAATGTGGGGTCCCGGGAACCCAGGGTACTGGACCGTGATGGGTCAGGTCAGATGAGCCCGAGAACTGAGCAGAGGGTTGAGCCTCATGGAAGTCACTTGAGGGTTCAGGAGCAAAGGGCAAGACAGGATTGAGGCAGCTGTGTGAGCAGCCCATTTGAGGTGTGTTGCTGTAAAGTGAGAGAGAGAGGGAAAGGGTATGCAGCTAAGAGAGTTTTCGTTTTCTGATTGGAGGGTATGCTCTCTAACATTCATTAAGCGCTCACCATATACCAGGCTCAGTGCTAAGTTCTTTTATGTGAATTAATTTACTGAATCCTCACAACAGCTCCATGAGGTGGACCTTTTCTTCCCATTTCACAGATGACACAACTGAGGCCCAGGGTTACACAACTGATAAGGGATGGAGCTTGGATCAGAGCTCAGGAATCCTGATCCAAGGGTCATGTTCTGTGGAGTGAGTGGGGCTCTGCCCTCCATCCTGTTCTTTGCAATGTCTTCTTTCATAACTTGGCTGGGGACATTCAAATTTGTGGTTGACACAGAGCTTGGAGGAGAGAGACATGAGGAGACAGAAACGGTCCCTGGAGCTGTCGGCTGGTGAGCACGCTGAACTCACCCTGAGGATCCGGTTCACGTGCCTCACTGGTAGTCAGGAGGGCTTCTGAAAAGTAGATTCTGATCGTTTGTTCTCCTGCTACAGACCTCCAGCGGCTTCCCGTGCCCGCAGGATTAGTGATGAAGGCTCACATATTTTGCACCAGGCACTAGCACACCGTATTCTTTGCCCACACTCCTGCCCAGAGCCTGTGGTCTGCCCTCTCACCTCTCTGCTCTCGTTTCCTCCCGATCTCCCCCTCCCTCACTGCTCCAGCCATGCTGACTTCTTCTGCTCCTCAAACTTGCCACATACAGGCCTACGTCAGGGCTTTTGCACTGGCTCTTTCAACTGCCTGAAATGCTTTTCCTCCGGATCTTCTCCAGGAGGGCCTCATGAGGGCTCGATCTAATACTACCTCCTCAGGCCCTCCCAGCCTTAGGTAGCCCCCACCGTAATTCTGCGTCACTTTACTCTCTTCCACTGCCTGTTTCCCCCATAGCAAAGCAACTTCTTCTCTGTTGCCCCCACTGAACTGAGAGCTCTGGGAGAGCAGAGACACCCTGAGGCCCATGCAAGCCTGGCACCTAGTAAGTCTTGGTTACAGTGCACTTATGACCTGCCTGGCACACTGTGGATGTTCAGTCAGTGAATATACAAGCTATGGATCTTATCTGAGTATCACTACAACCCCAATAAGTAGATACTCTAAGGCCCCCCTTTTCAATGTGGCTGCAGGGTGAGGCCCTGCTGAACTCCATTCTGCTCCTCCATGATCCACAGCTCCTCTGGTGGCCCTTCCCCTGTGTGTGCTGCTCCCTCTGCCTGGAATCCCCCACCCCACCCCGGGCTCACTCGTACCTAACTATGTTAATTTGCTAGGGCTGCCATAACAAAGTACTGACTGAGCGGCCTAAACAACAGAAATGTATTGACTCCCAGTTATGGAGGCCAGAAGTCTGAGATCAAGGCATCAACAGGGTGGTTCCTTCTGGAGCTATGAGGGAGAATCTGTCCCATGCCTATCTCCTAGTGTCTGGTGGTCTGCTGGCTATCCTTGGTGTTCCCTGGCATGCAGATACATCGTCCAAATCTCTGCCTTTATCTTCACATGGCCTTCTCCCTGTGCATACGTCTCTGTGTGCACATTTCCCCTTTTTGCAAGGACACATGTTGTATTGGATTAGGGTGCAACTAATGGCCTCTTTTTAACTTGATTACCTCTGTAAAGATCTTATTACCAAATAAGGTCACATTTGGAGATAATGGGAGTTAGGACTTCAACATATCTTTTAGGGAGACATAATTCAACCCGTAACACCACCCCTTAGATTTCAACACAGACAAGCTCTGTCAACCCCCACATGGCTCTGCCCTCATGCAGACCCCAGTTCTGCTTCCTTTCCACAGCATCTGTGCGGGGCAGATCAACAGTCATTCCCAGGGCCAGCCCGTGGCTCACTTGAGAGACTGTGGTGCTGATAACACCACATGGGTTCAGATCCTTATATAGGGATGGCTGGTTAGCTCACTCTCACTTGGGAGAGTGTGGTGCTGACATGAGCGTGGTGCTGACAACACCAAGTTAAGGGTTAAGATCCCCTTACCGGTCATCCTTTAAAAAAAAAAAAAAAAGTCATTCTCATAATGACTTGCTTCCTCTCTGTTGCCCCCACTAGACTGAGAGCTCTGGGAGGGCAGAGACATCCTGAGCCCCACACAGGCCCAGCACCTAGTAAGCACTCAGAAAATATACCTGGATATATGAACAACCTGAAACAAACAACCACCCCCCTTTTTCCCAACGATAAGATCCAAGGATAGATTTTTACGTGTGTGTGTTTATATAAACATGTGTATACTAAATGTATAAAATATTTGGGGACACAAATGACAGATATCTGGATCCTTATAATATTAATTTAGTTACAGATATATTTCCTAAATCACATATGTAAAATACTAACTTAGAATTATTGCATCTGTTCATGTACTCCCCTTTTCATGAAGCTGTTTTATTCAGTCTCCCTGAGCACTTTGGAGATGGTGTCTTTGTCATTGTTAGAGGCAAGTTTGAATCATGTAACTTAGTTTTCCAGAAAACATCATTTTCTTTGTAGCTAAGTTGAGACTAAATGTGGTAGGTTTTCTAAATCCGTGTACAATGCTGTCAGTGAAATTTTTATCCCAAGGCACAAGAGCTCATTTGTATAACTTATTTACCTAGTTTTATCAATACCTACTCTGCCGAGCACTGTTTAAGCCCTTTAGCTACATTAGTGAACTTAATCCTCACCACAGAACAATGAGGTGTACGGACTTTGCACCCTGTTTTCCAGATGAGAAAAATCAAGGTACAGAACTGTTGAGTCACTTGCCTAAATTCACTCGGTTAGCTGAGGTTTAATCACTGCAGATACCATGATTATTGGTTTCATAATTTGTCCCTATAAGGTCACCACATATTATGACATATTATGAGCTCATTCCCCCAGGAATAATTACCAAATCTGTCTGCCAAATTTCTTTGCTGCCTTCTTCATTGACCCTGGTCAAGGGCCTCCATGGTATCCAAAACCAGCTTTGACAGAGGCTGTACGTCCCCTGGAGGGACGATAAGGGCTGCAGCCAACAGGGAGTGCCTCCTGCGCCACCTTTCAGCCAGGCGGCTCCTCACAGACCCTGTCCCATTAATTCTCCGGCAGCTCCACAACAAGGATCTTTTTCTTATCCGCATTTCTGGATGAAGAAATTGAGGCACAGTTAGGAGGAGTACCTTGCCCAAGGTCTCCCTACTAGAAGAGGCAGAGCCAGGATTCAAATCCCGTAAGAGAACTGGCAGAGTGTCTCATCATGCAAGAAATTCAGATGAGGAGGACTCATGTCCAAGGCAATGGCTCGAATTTTCTGAGGAATGATTTCTTGGAGGAAACAGTCTCCCTTCTATTTGCAGGTGTGCTCTAGTTGTTGAACAAGAGACAGAGTGAGCTAGTGAAGGATGGAGAATCTGTGTGTTGCAGCGACCAAGGGCGTCTGCTACAGAAGGGCCCTCATGCTGGCACTGGGGGCCCAGAAACTTGTTTTGCCTACTCTGTGCTGGGACTCTTAAGTCACCGGCCTGCCTTCTCCCAGCCCCTGGAGGGCAGAACAGCATGGGGATTGGGCAGGAATCCCTTCTCTTACCTGCTCACCTCCTCCTCAACCCCTCAGATCCTATCTCTTTTATTTATTTATTTATTTTTTTGTCTTTTTTGTGACCAGTAAGGGGATCGCAACCCTTGGCTTGGCGTCGCCCGCACCGCGCTCAGCCAGTG